CAGCTCTGGGCATGGAAGGGCTGTGAGAGGGAAGGGGAGCTCCTGTGTCCCTGAGGAGCTCTGCCAGCTCCATCCTGGGTAAGAGCTGTCTCAAACCAGGTATTTCTTCCTGGATGTCACATGGAAAGAGGCTGTCAGAGCTGTCTAAATGTGTGAACAACACTGTCAGCGGGGGAGAGAAAAGTGTTATCAGAAATAGTTGTTCTTCAAAGCTAAATAACTCCGTGATTTATAAGGAGTAGAAGATAAGAGATCACACCGCACGCTGAGGGCTGCTGGAATTTTCTTTCTGAGAATGAAAGCTGTTTGTTTTGGTAAAAAAGCAAAAGAGGGGAGAAATAAAAACCGAAAATACTTTGACTTTATTGACTTAGCTCTTGACAAAGATAAAAATAACTGCACTGGCACTGAGCCCATGCAGCCATGTCCTGGGATCACCGGGGCAGTGAAGGAGCATTCCCAGCACATTGTCCAGGTCTCTTTCTGGCTCATTCCTGGAACCATTCCCAAGGTTTTCCAGCACCATCCCTGGGGACAGAAGAATGCAGGGCAGTTTTGCTGGATGCAGACACAGCTGGGCCTGTTCTGATTGCCATCAATGGGATTTTAGGTGTTCTGTGGGATCCAGGGTTTATCCTGGAGAGGCTCAGGTTCTGCTGCTCTGAGGGAGAGCCTCTGTGGTTTTCAGCCAAACTTCTCCTTGTGCCAGGCCAGGCTCCTGCTGCCTGCCCAGCCCCACTGCTGCTCCTCTGGTCTAGACCCAAAGGGAGTTTCAGGCACTTGCTCTGGGATCTCATTTCAGATTTTGAAAGCTCCTCACCTTAGCAGTGATGTCGAGGTCATCAAATAAAATAACCTAAAACAGTCAGACACGAAGCTGATTGTAATTAGTGTGTTTTCCCATACGCTGGCTGACATACTCCAGGGAGCAATTAGTCTGCTTTAAGAGTAAAAGACAACTGAATAATTATTTAACCTGCCTGGGATTGATTTTAAAATCCAAGAAGTCAGATATAATAATGGATTACTTCATCAAAAAATATGTAAAATAAGTGATAAGGGTTGAAAGCTTTCATCAACAGCTTGTGTGAGGCATCTCCTACAAGGCTGATTCCCAGTCCCAAATCCCACTGCACCAAAGGCCCCCCAAACATGGCATAAAAAGGTTTCCAGAGAAAAATATCTATTCAAACAAAGTCAACCTGAATTGATAAACTTCAGTTTGTGTGGTGCTGCAGTGGGGAAACCTCGGGCTCTATTGACTGGTCAAGGAGCAGCACACACAAATCAGGCAGCAAATCCTCTCAGGAACCTCAGGAGGGTGTCACAAAGCATGACAGACCTTGTCACAGCCATCTTTTATCTCTCTGCCAAGCCATGGGAGGGGAAGAAAGAAGGAATGAGGAGCTGAGACCTGCATGGACAGGAAAGAGTGGGAAAGGCCACGAGCACCACAGAGCATCCAGCGATCTCCAAGACTGGGATCGAGCTTCCAAAATAGATTTAGAGAGGGACAGCAGCACTAAAGGAGCTCCAGTTTAACTCTCTTGGGTGGGATTTGTTGATATGAGGTGTATAAAAGTGGAGACTTTTGTTGTGAGCTTTTCACACCCATTGACTCTCATCTCTGAGAGTGAAGCCAGGTGAGGTTTCTGCCCAAGGTCTCTGTGGGATCAGCCTGAGCTGCCCACAGCTGTCCAGCCCTCAGCAGCAGATTGCCCAGCCCTGTTCCTTCATCTGTCCTGCTGAGGCTTTCAGGGGTGCCCTGGGGTGCCCCAGCCTGGCCATCAGCCAGCTGATGTCACACCCCTCGTGCTCTCAACGCCACGAGCTGAGCGTCCCCATTTTGCTCAAATGGAAGAACTGCAACAATTATTTTCATAATTAGCTGGCTTTGCAAATTAATGCCAGTTATGCTGTGTAATCATGATGAAGATTATGCATTAATCAGCTGTTTCAAGCCAGTTATTAGGCTCTTTAAATAATGATGGGAGTGAACATCTCTGAAGGAGCGGCGCGCAGCCAAGAGGGACGTGAGGATCCAGAGGGGTGTGCCAGGCTCAGATCTGACCTCAGGGGCTCCCAGTCTCCCCAGTTTATGAGCAAACACCAGGCTGGGCATGCCATGGCTGCCCTCAGCACTTCAGGGAGATTCCCAATGTGCCAGAGTACTCCCAGTATTCTCAGAGTACCCCCAGTATTCTCAGAATACTCCCAGCACCATCAGGGGCTCCCAGTTTCCCCAGTTTCTGAGCAAACACCAGGCTGGGGCATGTCCTGGCTGCCCTCAGCAGCTGTGGGAGATTCCCAATGTCCCAGAGTACTCCCAGTATTCCCAGAGTGTGGTTTTTGTGAGGTTTTTAGGATGAGGGAAGAGATGAATTTGACTCTATGTTCTCAGAAGGTTGATTTATTATTTTATGATATATATTATATTAAAAGAATGCTATACTAAATCTATACTAAATAATAGAGAAAAGGATACATCAGAAGGTTTAACAAGAATGAATAATAAAAACCTGTGACTCTTTCTTGAGCCCTGACACAGCTAGATGGTGATTGGTCATTAAGTAAAAACAATTCATGTGTTTAGATAAGCAATCTCCAAATCACATTCTAAAGCAACAAAACAGGGAGAAGCTGAGGCTTCTCAGCTTCCCAAGAGAAAAATCTTGGCGAATGGATTTTTCAGAAAACATCACAGTGTCACCAAAGCATTCCCAGAGTACTCCCAGCACCATCAGGTGCTCCCAGTTTCCCCAGTTTCTGAGCAAACACCAGGCTGGGGCATGCCATGGCTGCCCTCAGCACCACAGGGAGATTCCCAATGTCCCAGAGTATTCCTGCTGTGCTCCCAGCAGTGGGAAATGCACAGAAACACATCCCTGCTGCCTCTCAGCTCTCTCATTGCCTGGCCCTGAGCTCAAGGTGCTGGGTGGCTGCACAGAAAATTCTTTCCTGCCAAAAAGCCCATTATATCCAGCTGGATGTCTGGAACAGGAATTTCTTTAGGATCAAACACCAATAATCCACATTCCCAGCCCTTCTGTATTATCTCATAATAGGACATGCTCCAAAGCAACTTTGAAAGTGCTGGGCTGGGAGAAAGGCTAATGCCAGCTAGTGGATAATCAATGTAACATTTATCAGTTATCACTTCAGGACAATGCTAGAAAACAGAAAAAAAAACCTGGCTAAACAGTCTGGACAATGAAGCTTTGAACAGAGAGATGTGGTGAATCTCACACTCACTTCAGTTTTGTTTATTGTGTCTGATTTAATATCGTAGATGAACTTTCTTCTGCCCTAAGAAACTTAAGTTGAGCTGCCAGCATATGCAAACTTTGATGTGGATGAATAATTTTCTTTGCACCAGTCAAAACCCAAATGTTTTGGCACAATCCAGTGAGAATGAGGCACGTGGACAATTCTGCTACACTCCTTCCTACGCTGCTCAGCACTCTGGATTGAAAACCTGCCCGTGAGTGACTGGCTGAAAATCACGTGAGACTGAAATGACACTCCAGAATGAGCATTCAGCCTCTTTTTTCTTTATTCTTCTGCCTATTACCAAAATTAGCACTGAGTTCAGTGGTTTTTTGGTTTTTTTTCTAGCAGAGACACGCAGGAAACAGCTCAAACTTATTTTATGTCTATGAATGTAAATTAATTCCCACACTCGCTTCACAACTGGGGACAGGATGCACAAAGGCTGCAGAGGAAGAGGAGGAGAGGGACTTGTCACGATCAAGGGGAGCAGAAAGTCAGAGGCTTTTTGCAAATCCTTCTGCTTCCTTGCTGAGAACATCTCCAACCATCACTCCTGTGCTTCACCCAGTCCATGGCTCTGGTCACGTTTCCATGAGGACACCCAGAGCATGGCCATCAGCCAAGCTGTCAGCTTGGCTCTGGCCAAACTGGAACTCCTGGCCAGCACCAAACTGCCACAAAACTATAGAAAATGTGCTCAGGCTGCTGGAGGAGGATTCATGGCATTGCCTGAAAGCCAGCAGGGCTTAGCAGACATCTGTTGTCTACAAGAAAACATTTGAGGACTATCTTAAATTGAAGAGGAAGGTTTTTCCTTCTGCTAATGAACCCTGAGACCATCTGTTACCAATTGTACTTGCTTCTTTCGCTCATCCATTTATTATTTTGCTTTACTTTTGAATAAAATACGAGCAAGGTTTGTGTCTTCCTGTGGTTCTGTGAGGGGCTCTGGGTGGCTCCTGCATCTCAGAGACAAGGAGACATCATTACATAACCCATGCCTGCACCAAGTCACTGCAATTAGAGTGGCTGTCAGTGGGAACTGAGGACAAGACTCACAGACACAGAGCCAAGAAACCCAGCCACATTGTGACATGAGCTTGTTGCCCTTGGGGAGGTGTAATGGCATTAACAACTTTTGAACACAGGAAAGCTGCATCTGAGATGTGCATTACTGAGCAGAGGAGCTGTAGGGCAGGCAAATCCAGAAGTCTCTGCTGGTCTGAATTAAAAACTTGGGGAACTAAACATGCAGTACAATAAAAAAGGAGAAGGGGACTGAAAATGGCACTGAAAATAGCCATCAGCAGCACTGCCCTGCCTGTCTCCCATGCAAGGACCAGATGGGTGATGAGGCAGGAGGATTTCAAGAGGAGGGCAGTGCCAGTTTTGTACCCAGTAACTCCTCAGAGCACAGACCATGGCAATAAGCCTGTCCACTTCCCATGGTCTGGACCTAAAGTTTTATGGGAAGCCACTTATCCAGCTCATAAAAATATTCCAAGACTTTAAACCACCCGTTACTGCCCCACAAAGCTGCCACCCTGAACATTCTCATAGACCAGAATATAAGAGAAACCCAAGTTTTCCTATCTTCATTTCAGTACAGGACAGGTCCTTGAGCAAGCCCTGCTCCACCTGCAAACATTCCAAGAGTTTTCTCATCCTTGCTGCATAAGTTTGTGAAACAAATTGTGGCTCAAATGTGGATTTTTTTTTTTGTCTTGCAGGAGGAATCTTTGAGTACGCAGATGGCCCCAACACACAGGTGATGAGTGCTGAGGAGCAAGCCTTCAGATTCTCTGCCAACATCATTAACAGGAACAGAACTTTGCTGCCCAACACAACCCTCACCTATGACATCCAGAGGATACACTTCCACGACAGCTTTGAAGCAACTAAGAAAGGTAAGAGCAGAGCAAACTTCTGAGCAGCTTTGTGGCCATTTATTCAGCAGAAGAAAGGTCTGGTTTCCAGACCAGCAGCTTGTTCTGTCCTGCTCTCACCAGTGATCTGGATGAGAGCTCCTGCTGGAGCTGACCTTCCAGAGGCATTTTAATACAAGGGGAGCAACTACCTTTTTTTGCCTCTGAAACCTCAGAAAACTCCTTTCAGGTCTTCTCTAATCCTGAGCAAAGGTCTGGAGGCCATGCCTGTGTTTGTGTCGCTGCATCCCTGGCAGTGCTCACATCCATCGCGTGGATGTTCTGTTCTCTTCACAACAGTCACTTTTGATTACTGGATAACAGCAGCACACTTGAATTGCTGAAGGGGAGGGACTGCGCAGCAAAGGCTGTGAGCTGGTGACCTGAGGGCTCGTGGAGTTTGATTCTGGCTGGGGAGAAAGGAAACCTGCTGCCCGAGCTGGCAGCTATTGGAGGGATGTCAGCAGGAGGGAGCTGTCTGCTCCCAGCCAGCCCAGCGACCCCCAGCCCCTTTTCAGATGGTTTTGTGGAGGAGGCTCTCTCAGAGAAGCTTGGCACTCCTCTCTGCCCCCACCCAGCCCCTTTTCAGATGGTTTTGTGGTGGAGGCTCCCTCAGAGGAGCTTGGCACTCCTCTGTGCCTCCACCCAGCCCCTTTTCAGATGGTTTTGTGGAGGGGGCTCTCTCAGAGGAGCTTGGCACTCCTCTGTGCCTCTACCCAGTCCTTTTTCAGATGGTTTTGTGGAGGGGGCTCTCTCAGAGGAGCTTGGCACTCCTCTGCACCTCTACCCACTGGTCTACACCCACCTGGCATAACTCATCCTCTCTCTGTGCCCAACCACTGCTGTAATTACCCAATATCAGTGCTGGGTCAGTGCTCACAAGTGTCTGGGCTGTGCCCATGGCTGCCCCCATGGCTGCCCCATGCTTAGCCCCCCCAGGCTTTGCTGACATCCCTGCCTTCCCCCTCCAGCCTGTGACCAGCTCGCTCTGGGCGTTGTTGCAATATTTGGACCTTCCCAAGGCTCCTGCACCAACGCTGTCCAGTCCATCTGCAACGCCCTGGAAGTGCCCCACATCCAGCTCCGATGGAAGCATCACCCTTTGGATAACAAGGACACTTTCTATGTCAACCTGTATCCTGACTATGCTTCCCTGAGCCACGCCATCCTGGACCTGGTGCAGTACCTGAAGTGGAGGTCAGCCACTGTGGTGTACGACGACAGCACAGGTGGGTGAAGAGGGGCTCAGAGAAGGAATCCTGGAGATTTTCTGTCTCCTGGGTCTCTTTGGGAGCTTTTCCTATGCACCCTCTCAAGAGCCAAATGATGCCCCGTGCATTGATGGGTTCCCAGGAGTTCCACACAGTGCTGTGGGAGGCCCTGGGAGCTTTCTAAGCATTTCATTCACAAAGTTCTCAGCAAGTGGGGCTGTGAGCTGGCACAGGGTCATGGAGGGGTTTATTGGCATGGGGTGACCATCTCAGCCTGGCTCTTTTGGCACTGTGGTGCCCCTCTACAACAGAAAAGCTGCCTTGGAGGGAGCAGTTCCCAGCTAAAACCAAAAGCAGTTCTGGAAAGTTTTTTTTTGTTTTCTGGATAATTCTGTAACACAGAGCTGGCAAAGTTCTTCATGTAAGGAAAGCTGTTGACGGCTAAACAAAGCAAAGTGCTGCACAGCTCTAGATATAGACCCCCCCAAAAAACAAAAGCCACATTGGATAGCCTGTCCAACCTAATTTCGCTAAACCAAATGGTTTCTTTAGGGGAGGGCTGATGAGAACACAGTTTGACATTCCTGTTTTGCAAATGTGGGTCACAGTATGTTCCCTTCGTGGCATATTCTAATGCGTTTCTTCTGTGCAGGGGGACACGCTTCTCTCTTCCCCCTTGCAATAGGCATCTGCTGAAATTCTCCTTGCAACCTCAGATTCCAATAATTCCTGCTCAGCTGAGTCCACCATGGCTCTTTGCCTTGTGCAGGAAACAGAAATGAATTCTGAGGGTAGTAGGAAGTTACGGGTTGTGATTAAGTGACCGTTACGATCTACGCGACTCATAAATCCAAGCCCATATTCATTTTTGCCTTTTGCTACTGTGCATGGTAAATATGCAGATTTTAATTTGTTGTGCAGCTGATTATATCACACCCTGCCCTTTCTCAAGGGCACATCTGCTTAAGAAAACTTTTTGTGATCCCAGAGGTTGTGAGGTTAGGACCAACCCGCTGTTCTCCCCTTCCTACCCAGTGCAGGGACCCCACCCAGCTCTACCGGCTGCAGTGGTGGCAGGGGAGCACCAGGAAAAGCCATTCTGTCCTAGAACAGCTCCTCTGGGGTCAATGGTTGATGTGTGGCACCTTGGCTTTGATTTGGCAATGGCCATTTGAAGGAGGGATGGATGGATGGATGGATGGATGGATGGATGGATGGATGGATGGATGGATGGGGGATGGATGGATGGGGGATGGATGGATGGATGGATGGATGGATGGATGGATGGATGATGATGGATGGATGATGATGGATGGATGGATGGATGGATGGATGGATGGATGGATGGATGGATGATGGATGGATGGATGATGGATGGATGGATGGATGGATGGATGGATGGATGGATGGATGGATGGATGATGATGGATGGATGATGATGGATGGATGGATGGATGGATGGATGGATGGATGGATGGATGGATGATGGATGGATGGATGGATGGATGGATGGATGGATGGATGGAGGAATGGATGGATGGATGGATGGATGGATGGATGGATGGATGGATGGATGGATGGATGGATGGATGGATGGATGTCAGCCCTGATCCCATTCTGTGGAGAACAGGGGAAGCACTGAGCTGCTGTGGCCCAGCAGTGGGGAAGGCAGCCCTGTAACACTGTGGGTTTGTCTCTGTGTGACACCTGAAGGCCTGATACGGCTGCAGGAGCTCATCATGGCCCCGTCCCGCTACAACATCCGCCTGAAGATCCGCCAGCTCCCGCTGGACACCGACGACGCCCGGCCTCTGCTCAAGGAGATGAAGCGGGGCCGGGAATTCCGCATCATCTTCGACTGCAGCCACCTGATGGCAGCTCAGATCCTCAAGCAGGTGAGCAGGGGGCCAGCGGGACAGCAAAGGGGCTGCCCAGGAGTCCTTGGGTGTGGGGTGGCCATGGTGAAGAGTGGCACCATCCTGGGTGCAGCTTTCCCTTGGGCTGCAATCCACAGCCACACTAAAAGCTACAGCATGTCCATCCTCCAAGGACACTGCTGGATTTCTACAGAAAATGGTGTTTTCACTGAAAAATTTGAAGTACCAAGAAGTGGCTGTGGGTGAGAACAAAAAATGTTACAGGAAGAGAAGGGGCTGTGCTGAATGCAGCACCCAGTCCAGGCTGGTGCTGGACAATTCTGTGGCTCTCCCTGAAGCTGCACAGCCCCAGCCTTCTTCCCTCTTCCCCCTTCTCCCTTCATTCAAGCTGGCTCTCCCAGCCAGGAGGGACTGCATCCTCTGTCCCTTCCCCAGCAGCGTCTGCAATTCTTGGACTTTAAGCCAGATGTCAGTGATTTTCCATTCTTTTGGGCTCCCTCCTTTCTTCCTCCACAAGTTCCTCCACTGGAATTCTTGCTGCTCGCCCCAGCTCCTCCTCATTCCCAAGTGCCTTTGGGTTTCAGGGTTAATATGAGGCAGAGGAAAAGGCTCTCACAGAGATGCTAAAAACCAGCTGGTGGAAGTGTTGCTCCTATCAGCCCAGCACAACACCACCTCACAGATTAAATAAATCCCTGAAGGGATGAGAAAGCAAGCACAAGGCAAGAGCCTTCCCCTGCAGCCTGCTTGATGCAAAATGAAGGGAAGTGCTCAGAGAACTTGGAAAGCCTGGGAGGGATTATTATGGGAAGCAATAGAAGGGGCTCATTGTCTCCTGCCAGTTATTTTCCCGTTCTGGTTGTGTTTGGTGCTGCTCACTTATTATGCAGTTTATTATAGTTTATTGTGCCATCTGCTCAGCTCATCACCGCTGGTGCAGAGTGAGGAAGATGGAGGAGAGGGGGGACTAGGGGAGACAAGTCTCTCTAAGTCCTTCTGGCTGGGTTTGTGTGTGTGTTGGGGTTTTGTCAGGACCTGAAGCCACAGATTTCAGCTTAGCAATAAAAGACAGTGTATTTTTACTCAGGGAAATACTAGTGTATTTTCAGAGGCTGGGAAGTTGAATGAACCCAAACCACAGCCTGACTGCTCTCTGCATTCCTGGCCACCCTGGTATGTAACATCAGGCAGGTTCAGAGCAGTGCACCATGACCTGCAGGTCACCTGCATCTGCTGAAGACTAAGAGGTGTAAAAACCTCGTATTTTCCTCACTTGTCTACCTGTAGCAAGAAATGTATGCCTAGAGGTGCCACTTTCATTTCTTTACCACTGAAAGTACGAGCTAGGCAAAACCATCTCCTAGAGGAGGGGAGTCTGCTTCTCTTCACAGCAGCAGAAGAACAATGCACAGAACAAATAATTGACTGGAAAAAAAAAACAGGGAGGAAGGCCCAGCATTCTGTTTATGGCAGAATCAGTAATATTAATATTTTATTGCCATTATGTGCCTTTTGTAACATTTTGGTCACTACACCAGTCAGCTCTGCAGACATTTGGCTGGACGGAGTCCCTGGAGTCTCTTGGCCCTGCTGCCACCCCCATGGATGGCAACAAGGTTCTCACAAGACTTGTGCTAAAATTTCCACTCCTTGACACTGATTTTCATTGCACATCTTCAGAAAACACAGAAGGTTTGAGCACCTACAGCCTGTGCTGGCTGAGCAGCTCTAATGAGCAGTGCACACACCGTCGTCTTAGTCAGGATCTTGCTCCCCAGGGATTCAAGGTTCCATGATCAGCACAGCACTGATCATCTGGGCAGCTTTTGAAATTGGAGTAGTAAAAAATGCATGGATTAGTAATCCATGAGTAACACCACATGAGCCAGCACAACACCACATGAGCCAGACTGTCACCTACTGCTCCAGCCTGGGTCCCTTGGTGTGACCAGACATCAAACCATCCATTACTTTGTCCTCTTGGAAAACAAATAATTGTAGAGACCTATCACAGAGTGAGTCCTGCTTGTGAGACTCTCCTGTCCCACCCCAGATTCTCCAGCCTTCCTCAGTTTTGGTCCCTTGTTGTCACTCCAGGTCTGTTCCCGGGCTGTCCTGAGCAGCCTCTGTGCTCCACAGGGCACAGCTGTGCCTGTCAGCTCTGACAGAGCTCCTGCTCTCATCCCAGCCACTGCCTGTGGCTTATCCACCAGGATGATCATTTATTCATTTCCCCACAAACCCAGATGCATCCTGCCCCAGGCTGCCAGGGCTGGGAAGCTGGAGCTTCCTTCTGACAGCAGCTCTGGGCTCCTCAGCTATGGCCAGAGTGATCCAGATGTAGAACATGAACTGGGATCTCATTATTTGCTCCAGACTGGCTCCCCATCACTAACTGGTGCCATTCCCTGCTTCAGCTCTTTGAACCAGGGTGTGCAGGAGGGAAGGAGCTTCACTGCAGCCCCCTTGATGCACTGACCAGACTGGGGGACCGGATGGTGAACAGCCACAGGGACAGCCCCCAGATTCTCCAAAAGCTACTTCCAGAGCAGGAAACCTGGGGTGAAATCACACTTTGGAGTCACAATATCTCGGCTTGCAATCCCAATCCTTTTCTTTTCCCTTGTTTTTTGACATCTCACTTCTTTTCAGACTGTCACTTCCTTCCTCAGAGGTAAATTCCGCCCTAGTAATTTTAGCAAAAAAAAACCAATGGAAGCAAACATTTCCTGGGGGGACTTGAAGTCACTTTCCCATCAGTGGGGATTTTAAAGTGCTCTTGCATGTGTTTTCTCCAGAAAACATGCTCACACAGTCAGCATCCCAGCCAAACCCACAGGAATCTTCCTGTCACCAGCCACCAGTTTCAAGGTCACCTTTCTCATAGACTGAAACGTGGTCCCCCCACGTTGTGAAGGGTCTGGACATGGTCATCCAGCCAAGGGCCCCTTCAGCCCATGGTTGTCCTCTGAAAGAGCTTCCAGACAGTCTGTTCTCTCCAGTGCTCAGTTATGCAAATCCCAGCAATCTGCAGGAGCCATCCTGTGTGTAGGGCTGGCAGGGAATCTCAAGCTGTGCTGCCAAGGGCCCTCAGGACCCTGATCCCCTAAAGCTGAGGGACAGGGGATGTTCCCACTCCCCATCCTTGTGCCTGCACCTTCACCGACCCATATTGTGTTTGTGGGGTGCCCCAGTGAAGGAAGGAATGATGAATCTGACTCCATGTTCTCAGAAGGCTCATTTATTATTTATTGAAGGCTAATTTATTATTTTATGATACTATATTATAATAAAGAATACTATACTAAAGAATACTAAACTAAACTATACTAAAGAATACAGAAGGGATACTTACAGATGGCTAAAAAGATAATAATGAAAAACTTGTGACTCTTTCCAGAGCCCTGACACAGCTTGGCACTGATTGATCATTAAGTCAAAACAATTCACATGAAACCAATCAAACAACCACCTGTTGGATAAACAATCTCCAACCACATTCCAAAGCAGCAAAATACAGGAGAAGCAAATCAGATAGCTATTGTTTTCCTTTTTCTCTGAGGCTTCTCAGGCTCCCAGGAGAAAAATCCTGGGTGAAGGGATTTTTCAGAAAATATGAATGTGACAGACCCACTTGTAAACCAGGCCCTAAGTCAGGATCTGACTGTTGTGTTCAGGAAGGAGGGACAGAGGCAGGAGCTCCATGAACTCAGTGCACAGATGGGACTGAAGGTGGGCATGCAGAGCCCCACAATTACTCATGTCAGGAATCAAAACCCTTTCAGCTGCCTTCTTAGACACTACATGGATGTGTGACCACAGAACAGGCTGTTTATGGTCAATCTGCACAGGTTTCTGGGAGGTTGCTCATGGTTTGGTGTTGGAGAAGGAAAGGTGACCTCCTTTCCCAGCTGTGCCAACAGAGCCTGTGGCCCTGGAGGATCCTGCACCCATGAGTGAAGTGTCACCATGCCCTGGTGAAATATGGGTCTCCTTGAGCCAGGTCTTATAAGCTCTTGGAGATCTATTTCACACCCAAGATAGCTCAGCTACCTTAGAAGGCATAAAATCAGCAGGATGGCTTCTGTGGTAGTGTTGGAAACAAAAAGGTTTTAATGAAACAAAACTCTTTACAGAGCAAAACCGAGCCAGGTGCAAGAGGTTCTTGCTCCTGATAAAACAACTCACAAAAGCAATTAGTTTCTTTGTTCTCTTCTTTTTCTAGTAAATTGCTCAGGTGGGACTTTTAGGCTCCTGTCCAATTGGTTGTCCTTAAGTTTGAGGTGAAGTCCTCCAAGTCCTATGAGATTTTTCACCTAATTGAGGAGAGAAACTTCTGGGCTTTTTTCCTTTTTAAAGGGACAAAGGACAGTTTTGTCACTCCATCAACAGAGGGCACATTCCTATACCCTGGCACAGCCAGGGACGCCCAGTGTCACCCAGAAATGCCACCAGCCCTCATGGCAGCTGCACACTGAGGCTTTGCCATGGTTTCACGATGGTTTGAGGACTACAGCTCTGCTCAGCTCAGCTCTTGAGCATGTGCCTGTTGCTGATGAGCCTGGCTTAACTGCTCCATGGCCTTAGTCCTGAACCCAAACCTGGTGTTTCCAGTTTCTTAACTCCTCTATGGCCTCAGTCCTGAGTCCAAACTTGGTGTTTCCAGTTTCTTCACTGCTCCATGGCCTTAGTCTTGAATCCAAACCTGGTGTTTCCAGTTTCTTCACTGCTCCATGGCCTCAGTCCTGAATCCAAACCTGGTGTTTCTGGGTCTCTCCTGCCACATTTACCTACAAGATCTGAGTTTTATGTTGCATGGCTGCTGTAATGTTCTTGTACCCCTTTACTAACCCCTTTCCCCTCCTCTTCTTAAGGCTATGGCAATGGGGATGATGACAGAATATTACCACTTCATCTTCACCACTCTGGTAAAGTATCTGGCTGTGCACACACCTTGTACACACTGATGGGGATTGGGATGTGAGCACAGAAAGCAACCTGTGCACACTGAGAGGGCTGGGATGTGGGGGGGAACTGGAGGTGGAGGGTGGGATGGGTGTCTGATCCTGGTCTGCACTGCCATGGGGAGGGAAATGCAAGAAAAAGGGGAGACCTGGGACCCTGCCAGGAGGAGAGGACAGGGCTGGAGCTGCTGCAGCTCAGGGTCAGACCCCAGTGGCCTGGCTGTAACTCCTCTGCTCTGCAGCACTGCCTGAGAGCTGTCAGTCCCACCTTTTCCTGCAGGATGGCTCCTCTCTCTTGCATGAGGAATCTGGGGGATTTGGGGGTATTAATTTCAGGAATTTTGGGACTGAATTTCATGGATGCTGGGAATTTTTGGGAGTTAATTCTGGAGATTCAGGGAATTTTGGGAATTCCCACCTTTTTCTGCAGGATGCCTCCCCATTCCTGTATCATGAGTTTTGGGACAGAATTTTGGGAATTTTGGGACTGAATTTCAGGAATTTTGGGGCAGTCCCTCCTTTGGAGTGCACAGATGAGGGTTCTGGCTTTATTTCCCCTCCCAGTCACTTTGATTTCAGTGTAGCCCCCCACAAACTGACAGTGAGCACAGGGAGAGTGCAAGGCTGCAGCCCCCACCCAGGATCTGGTGGGACCCTGATGCAGCAGGAGCTGGGGATGGGCACCCAGGACCCCTCTGGAGCCAGGAGCAGCCCTGCTGTGGTCCAAGCCTCAGCCCTGCAGGTTTATTTTGCAGGAGGGGAGCTCAGCCTGACATTAACTCCACTCTGTTAAACGTGGGCCAGTCCTCTCTGACTCTGGGAGGCATTTGGCTTTCCTGGCAGGGTCACTTTTGTCTCCATTTAAGATGCTATTGTCTAGTCTGCTGTTGAATTTGGTGTGATTTTGAAAATCCAATTTATCTTTTTTGCCTTTGGGAAAGAAACAGACGAAACTAACCCTTAAAAACGACAAAATTTATTTTTCAAATGCAAAAGACATTTTAATTACCCCAACTGCCATTATCTATTCCAGGCAGCTTTAAGCATTTCCCAGATAACCTCCTATTAATCAGCCCCAGCTGAGCCTGGAGTACATTTCATGTGTAGGTACAGCCTGGAGGTGGGAAAAGAGGAATTATAATAAATTAATAGATAAGCAATCACAATTAATGCCACTTTCCTGAAATAACAGTTATATCATGGGAAAGATATTTTAATCTGTCATTCCTTAAGGCAATGTTTTCCTAGCTTGCAATGCCTGTGCTTCAGCTTCCCCAGTACGAGACCCATGGGGTGCTAATGAATTAGTCTATTATGTTATACTGAATGTTTCTAAAAGGTCCCCAGTCAATACTGAGCACAGTGTATCAACACTTGGCATGAAATGCTTCAACATTTCGCTAGGCAGCACGACTACAGTTCACTGACTCCAGCAAGAAGAGCCCCATCAGCCTTTTCCACCACAGGAGGAGGATGTCTGATGAGCACTGGTCCCTGTCACATGCAGATTTTACACCCAAAGCCCTTCAGGGAACACCCCAGATCTCCACCCTTGTGGGGGCTTTGGGTGAGCTATGCAGGTGTAAAAGCTGCATTGCAGGTTTAGTCTCAGAACACGTGGAAAATGCTGGTCCAAATGCGACGTTCTGGTGAAGTAGAAAGGGTCTTTCCTTTTGCACTCAACACAGAACATGGGAAACCAGGTGTTATAATCTTATTGGGGAGCAAAAAGTAACCTTTTTTTAAAAAAATTGTGTTTGGTATCATCTCTGTCCCTCTTCTTTCTGGATGAAAGTATTTTATTTTATTTATTCTTTTAATACTCCATGTTTTAAGCCAATATTACAGAAAGTATTTTTGCAATTTCTATATTTTTCATTTTTTTGGTAGAAAATGAAGCCTTTTTCTGGAGATGGAACTATACCTCTATCAACACTTTTCAAAGCCCTGGTGAAACTCTTGTACCCTGACATTCCTACGCATAGACTCAGTTATACCTTAACACTTTTCCCTGTTTTGTTCAATATTTGAGTCTGCTAATTCTCTGACATTTATGAAGTGAGATAATGCAAAATTGCAACGAGAAAAACAAACAAAGACTCAGCAGTGTGTAAAATGGGGCTTTGGAGCCACAGCCAAGCCCTGCCAGCTCCCAGGGCAGAGCTGTGGGGACACCTCACCCACGGGATGCCCTTCCTGGACCACTTTTCCAGCCTCCCTCTGAGGATGTGGCATCACTGAGGATCAGTCCCCAGCACTGCTGCCACCACCAAAGAGCCCAAACTGGGCAAACTGGGGAAGGGGGAGAACATCACAGGAGCACCGAGAGCAAAATTAAGGGTGCAGGGGAGAATTAATCTGCAGTACAGAAAACAATGAGTGAAAGGGAATGTAGATGAGGTGGAAAATAGAACCAGATGTTTCAATTTGTGGCTGTGCAGGAGCAGAAAATCCAGAAGAAACTGATCTGATGAGTCCCATCCACACCTCCCCACGTCCTGACACTCAGCTGGTGTTCTGGATTATCCTCTGATTCCAGGAGGTGATAAATCAGGCTGCAGCTGAGATTTAAACTGGAACCAAAGAGGGATCTGATGGGAGGTTGGTTTCTATAGGAACTTGGTGAAAGGAAGGGTCAGTGGGGAGCAGCAGGGCAGGGACAGCACCCAAAATACCAGTGGGATCTGAGAGGTGGCCAGGGCTGCTGGTTTGGCAGATGGGCAGCAGAGACCATGAGGGCTGGAGCTCAGGGATCTGATTTGTCTCACCCAGTCACATTCTGAGGGGAAAATTATCGGATTTTGCAACCAAAAATTATTTCCTCACAACAATTTCTGGAATACAAACTGAAGTGTTTGATTAAAAACGAATCCTGAGAAAACAGACCCATTCCAGCAGGTCAGGCACAGAACTGCTGTCCCCACTCCCAGCCAGAGACACGAGCACCTGTCTGAGGTCAAACCACTGTATTTGCCCTTAGCTCCCTTAAGTCATTTAAAAGTCAACATTGTGGCCTGTTCTTCACAGTGCCCTTTAACAGAACGTGCAGGCTTGCACTTGCAATTTTTCAGGGTTAAAAAACAGCCCAAAAACCCAAGTCCCAACTGCCATTGCAGGGTGATTAATGATTTGGTCCCTGCTGCACCTGCAGCTTTGAGCACTGCATCCATCAGCAGTGAGCCCTGGGGCTGCAGAGGCTGGGGCCAGGCTTACAGAAAAGATCAAACCCCCAAAGCTTATTAAAGCAAAACAGCCATAAGAACCCTCACTCCCCCACAGAGAATGATGCCTCGGTTGCTGGCAAGTGGTGCTGCTGTCCTGCTTTGCTTAGGGCAGCACATATGGGACTTTGCCAGCCCCCTGTGGGCAGATGGGGGCTGCAGATGGGAGGCCCCAGAGTGTGGCTGTGTCCCACCAGCACAGCCCCAGCACAGAGCACAGAACAGGCACAGCCACATAGCACAGAACAGGCACAGCCACAGCACAGAATAGTTCCAGCCACAGCACGGAACAGCCCCAGCACACAGCACAGAACACAGAACAGCCCCAGCACAGAGCACAGAACAGGCACAGCCACAGCACAGAATAGCTCCAGCCACAGCACAGAACAGCCCCATCACACAGCACAGAACAGCCCCAGCACAGAGCACAGAACAGCCCCATTATACAGCACAGGACAGCCCCAGCACAGAACACAGAACACAGAACAGCCCCACCACACAGCACAGAGCAGGCACAGCCACAGAGCACAGAACAGCCCCAGCACAGAACAGCCCCAGCACACAGCACAGAACACAGAACAGCCCCATCACACAGCACAGAACAGGCACAGCCACAGCACAGAATAGTTCCAGCCACAGCACAGAACAGCCCCAGCACACAGCACAGAACACAGAACAGCCCCAGCACACAGCACAGAACACAGAACAGCCCCAGCACACAGCACAGAACAGCCCCATTATACAGCACAGGACAGCCCCAGCACAGAGCACAGAACAGCCCCATTATACAGCACAGGACAGCCCCAGCACAGAACACAGAACACAGAACAGCCCCACCACACAGCACAGAGCAGGCACAGCCACAGAGCACAGAACAGCCCCAGCACACAGCACAGAGCACAGAACAGCCCCAGCACACAGCACAGAGCACAGAACAGCCCCAGCACACAGCACAGAACAGGCACAGCCACAGAGCACAGAACAGCCCCAGCACAGCCACAGCACAGAACAGCCCCATCACATAGCACAGAACAGGCACAGCCCCAGCACAGAGCACAGAACAGCCCCAGCACAGCCCCAGCACAGAGCACAGAACAGCCCCAGCACACAGCACAGAACAGCCCCAGCACAGCCCCAGCATCTCCTCCCATACTGAAGCTCATTTTTGAGAAGCCCCTGTGAGAGCAGGGAGTGTCACATATTCACCCCCACGCTCCATTGCAGACTCGTGGCGTTGCCTTTCCGCCTCCCCGCCTTTAAACTGCCGTGAAACCCTTGCAGAAGTTGTTCAGGATAAATGCTGATGAAATATATCCCATCCAACAAATGGTTCACCCCTGACTGCCATCTCACCACACTCCCTCACTCCCCCCTTGGGTGAGCTGGCTTTGGGGAGCAGATCAGCTGCCACCTGCTCCTGATGTGCTGTCTAACCCAAAACTCCTTCCTCAGCACTGAAGCTGATGTTCAGACACGTGGAGAGACAAGAGCTGCCCCACAGCAGTGCTTCCCCAGTGCCCCCAGTATCCCCAGTGCCCCTTGCCAAGCCATGCTGGCAGGCTGGCAGCCAGCAGAGCTGAGCACTGCCTGGCTCTGCTTTTCACATCCTATAAAGGGCACCCTCATTCATCTGCAGACTGTGTAGGCTGGCCAGAATGTCAAGAAATGCGTCTTAGTTCCTCTTTGATAGTCTGCAAATTGGTGTTTTGCATTCAGAATGACTCTGTCATCCCCAGCACCCTGTGGGCCTCAGCACTGCCAGCAAATCCTCTGTGGAGAGGCCCATGGGAGCTCCAGACACAGAAACCCTGCCTTGTCCCCCCTCCCTGGGTCACAAGTCTCTTTTTCTAGGGTCACAGGCAGGTTTTCACCCCACAATCCACTCTCTTTCATGCTGAGAACAGGTTCTTTGGCTCTTTGGTAGGAGCTCCCTTCTGCTGTGTGTGGGGGAATCTGCACATACGGCGCCCAAATTGCACCAACACCTCCAGGCCTCTGCAAGCAGCCACTGACGGCAGCAGGCAGCACAATCCTCTGAGAATCCTCTGAATTCCTGAGGGATCTGTGCTGTGACAGTGCTCACAGGGGTCTTAGGATGAGGGAAGAGATGAGGATCTGACTCCATGTTTCAGAAGGCTTGATTTTATGATATATGTTATATTAAAACTATACTGAAAGAATAGAAGAAAGGATTTCATCAGAAGGCTGGCTAAGAATAGAATAGGAAAGAATGATAACAAAGGTTTGTGGCTCGGGGCTCTCTGTCCGAGCCAGCTGGGCTGTGATTGGCCATTGATTAGAAACATCCACATGAGACCAATCCCAGATTCACCTGTTGCATTCCACAGCAGCAGATAACCATTGGTTACATTTTGTTCCTGAGGCCTCTCAGCTTCTCAGGAGGAAAAATCTTGAGGAAAAATCTTAAGGAAAGGATTTTCCATAAAAGATGTCTGTGACACTGTACTCCCTCCCACCTCCTGTGGGCTCCGCTGTCTCGCTCCAAACACAGACACGCCGACCGACACAGAAAACTCAAACAAAACAAAGCTAAGCAAAATGTTTAAAACCGGTTTCTCTCTTTTAAGGATCTTTATGCATTAGACCTAGAACCATATCGCTACTCTGGGGTGAACCTGACCGGATTCCGGATCCTCAACGTGGAGAACCCCCACGTGTCCTCCATCATTGAGAAGTGGTCCATGGAGAGGCTGCAGTCGGCGCCCAAGGCCGAGCTGGGGCTCCTGGATGGTGTGATGATGGTACGGGCAGTTCAAACAGGGCACGAGGGTCTGGGAAGCAGGGCAGGAAGGCAGGAACAGTCATTGAGGCCTAAATGTTACTTTTATTGGTTTTTGTACCAGTAACAACTCATCCCAGGTATCTGCTCTGAGGTGCTTTCTTGCATTCTTTAACAGCTGTTCCTCAAAGTCTGGGGTGAAACATTCACCCCACTGCTGTGGGGCCAGCTGCCAACAGATTGTCACCAGACAAGCCAGGACATGTCCCAAAGGGGCCCAGCTGTCCCTGAGAGCAAAGGGACATGAATTCTTTAACAACTGTCCCTCAAAGTCTGGGGTGAGGCCCACACCCCACTGCTGTGGTAATGCTCCTGCTCAGCCCAGCTACCAAGAGATTGCCACCAGACAACGTAGGTAGCCAGGACGTGTCCCAAAGAGCTCCAGCTGCCCCCAAGAGCAGAGGGACATGAATTCTTTAACTGTCCCTCAAAGTCTGGGGTGAAGCCCACACCCCACTGCTGTGGTAAAGCTCCTGCTTGGGCCCAGCTGTCAAGAGACTGCTACCAGACAGGTAGCCAGATTGTCACCAGACAGGTAGCCAGGATGTGTCCCAAAGGACTCCAGCTTTGAGCCCTCAAAGCCCCTTTGGCTTTGCTCTCAGCCCCAAGAGCAAAGGGACACCAGCACCCAGGGCTGGCAGCACAGCATACAGCCAGGCTGGACCAGGCACTCTGCTGAGATTGAGACGGAGGAAAGAGCCAAAGCAATGGGCAGAGATGGGCTGAGCTGCAGCTTTGATGACTCCTTTTAGGGCCTGATGGCAGCTCTGCTCTGCTGAGTTACTGCTTGGAAGGTACAGCACCTGCTCGCCCATCTGTCTTCCCTGCCAGGCTGTCTCCGACCCCCAGAACTGTTGACTGCCTCCCTCCTCCCTTCCCTTTCGATCTGCCAGAAAGTGGCAAAGCCTCCCAGACTTTCACCTTGAAGTGGCTCCTCAGATGCCTGCTGCTGTGTTTGTTGTTAGGGGAGAGACCCCCACTCTCCTGCAGGCTCCTACCTCGCCCCAGGCTGAGCCTCACTGTGCCTGCAGCACAGCTCGGTCCCCATCCCCTCTTTGCTCTCTCAGAGGGATCCTGCCTTTGATTCCTCTTTGCCAGGTGTCTGTCCACTGGGGCCCTGGACTCAGCTGGGCATTACAGTCTGTAATTCACCATGAAATTGCATGGACATATCCTTGCCCCCCTTTCCTCCAGCCCCAAATTCCCAAAGCTGTCCCTGCTGTGGTCCATACTCGCCCACGGATGCAGGTGGGGCTCCTGCTCTTCATGCTTGGTTGCTGAGGGAAGGGAAGGTCACAGGGATGGCTGCCAAGGCTGGGGGATTTTCTCCATGGCTACGTCCTGTGAGATGTTTGCTCAGTTATTTGCTGTATTATTTTGTTTTATTGTGGTTTATTACGCTGCTGCTACACTCACATCTGTTTCGTGGCTCCGTGAAGCCAGCAAATAATGTATTTTCACTAGGAGGTCTTACCACATCAGAGTGAGAAATAAATCCAATTCTCTTGATCAGTGTTTGGATGTAAGATGGGGCATCTCAAATTGAATCTAAAATCATCACATTATATGGGGGAAAAAAGTTCTCCCTAGTTCAGATCACTGAAATGCTAGAATATGTTACAAAGCCATGAGGTCCTGATTTTGGTGACAGCTTGTGTCATTTTTGGAAAACTGTGTGCCCACAAACATCTCTGTTTCTTATTTTCCCATGTAGAAAATAGTGTAGAAAATATGTTCTCATATAGTTTTTTTTACACTCAGACAAAACAGACTCGATATTAAGAAAACTCTGTTACTACCTTCCACATTTAGAAGCCGTTGCCTCCCTCTTTGACACCACAGCAGGAAATGTGCAAGAAACAACCCGAACAGACAAACGGCACTTCCAGAATTGCTGATTTTAGACAAAACCCTGAGCTTTTGATCTAAACAACCAAGGAACCATCAGGGAGCATAGGCAGAGAAACCCTGGGACTGGCAGGGGTAACTCAGAGCAGGTTCCACCTTTTCTTACTGTGAAAAAAGCCAATAATTTGTTTTTAAAATTTTAGAAGTTTAATGGTTATAAAAATAGTAATACAATTAGAGTAATAATAATTTGGACAATTTGAATTAGGACAATATGAGACAATAAAAACAAAGAGTTATGGACAGTCCGGGTACCTTTTTCTGGGCAAAATAAGACTGAAAAAGGAGCCATGTTAACAGAGGATTAACCCTTAAAAGCAACAGCCTGTTGCATATTCCTACATCTCATACATGAGGCATAAATTCCATTCAAACACAGGATTCTGTCTGGTCATCATCAGCTTCTTCCTCATAATCCTAACAGCGTCGTCCTGCCCGAGTGAGGCGGGAAGAAGTTCATTTCTCCTGATAATGGAGCAATAAATTCTCTTTCTCTGAAAGATTTAGGTGTCCTGTGACTGCTGTCACAGTACGAGTCCTTTTTTTAAAAAAAGAAGTATCCTGCATCACACAGTTCCTATTTTAACATTTTGCCATAACCCAAAACTACATTTAACGCACCGCTAAAGAGAATTAACACAGCATCACTTCCTAACACAACACATACGATATTCACTTGAATATTTGCCAAAAGCCAATCGCAGAAATTGGCGTTTTTCACACGGCGAGCCACCGACGCTGTCCCCCTTCCCTTTAGACAGACGCTGCCCTGCTGTACGACGCGGTGCACGTGGTGTCCGTGTGCTACCAGCGCGCGCCGCAGATGACCGTCAACTCCCTGCAGTGCCACCGCCACAAGGCCTGGAGGTTCGGAGGCCGCTTCATGAACTTCATAAAAGAGGTAAAAACGTGGGTTCTGTTTGACTATAAGCATTATTTCCCCCCCGCCATGAGGAGCAGGTTCCCAGGGGTCGGTAGTGGAGGATTGGTAGGTGCGGCGTTAGAAAACTCCCTGGACCGGGAGTTGTGCAGTCCCTCAGTGCTCCCACTGATGCCTTAGGATTGTAGCTTTTATATCTATTTTATAGCTTTTTTTTTTAATAGCTTTTTTTTTTTAATAGCTTTTTTTATTTGTACTCCTGCGGTTCTTTAGTGTAGAACTCTAAACTCCATATGCACTGTGAGCTGCTGTGGTGGTCCCAGGACCAGGGGAGAGATGAGAATCTTGACTCCGTGTTTCAGAAGGCTGATTTATTATTTTATGATACATATTATATTAAAAGAAAATGATATATTAAAACTATACTAAAAGAATAGAAGAAAGGATTTTATCAGAAGGCTAGCAAGGAATAGAAAAGGAATGATAATAAAATCTTGTGACTGCCTCGACACAGGTGGCTGTCATTGGTCATCAAGTAAAAACAATTTCCCATGCTGGGTGAACAATTCTCCAAATCACATTCCAAAGCAGCAAAACATGGAGAAGCTGAAGCTTCTCAGCTTCTCAGGAGAAAAGATCCTAATGAAAGGATTTTTCATAAAGTATGTCTGTGACATATTTCCCATTTTGGGCAGACACAACAATTCCTCTGCAGGCCTGGCAATCAAAGACACCTCACTGCCTCAGGCCTTGAAAAAATGTAAAACAAAAGTGAGTTGGGGGGGGGGAGAAAACTTGGGGTCAATGACTTCATTAGCTGAAGCTGTAGTTGGGAGATGAACCCCCAGCAGGCAAATGGACCAAACTTATAAAAGTGTGAAAACCTGTCGTCATCCATTCTTTGGGTGTAGCCCCTTGTGGGGGGGTTTCATCTGCCCAAAATGTACCTGAAGACCCTTCAAAAAACATAACTGCATTTTATTGCCTTAATTTTGTCTGGCCTCTGTTTTTAGGTAGCCCAGAAAGGCATCAGCCCCGTGGGAGCTGCAGGGCTCAGCACTGCAGCTGTGTCTGCTCCAGCTGGGCTCGTCAAACATTCCGCGTTTTCCCCGGCTCCCGGGGGGCTCCGAGGGCTGCACATCCCACAGGCAAACCACCTGCACGCCCAAATGAGCAAACACCAGCCTCCCCAGGAGTCCAGGGTGGCAAGGCTGGGAGCAGGCTGTCACTGCTCCTCAGGAATTAATGAGGGAGAGCCAGAGGAGCGTGTTTACTGGGAGAAACGCCAGTTACTCCCCCTGAGAATGCATCGTGCCACCTTGATCACACTGGAATATTTCAAGCTCCCCCACCCATAAAATAAACACATTTCTCAGTGAGCAGCCTGCACGGGGCTGCTCAGGGGAGAGATCCCCAGGCTCAGCTCCCCACTGCTGGGATGTGATGCTGAGCAGCAGCCTGGCATTCCTGCAGGAGCATCCTCCTCAGGACAATGGCACAGCACACCCAGCTCTGTCCCCAGGCATTGGGCGCCTCACTGTCCCCCAGCTCCTGCTCTGCTGGCACACAGCACCAGAGAGATTCATTCTAGGGTGCTGCAGTGGGAAAGAAATCAAATTACATGGGGTTTTTTTGTGGAATTGAATTGAGACATCTTCACCCCAAGCTCCTGCTCCTGGTCCCAGTCAGACCAGGTTGTTCAGGACCTCAGTCAGCCAAGCACTGAAAAATCTCTGGGAATGGGATGTCCCCAGTCCCAGTGAGCACCTTCCCATCCTTATGCTGCCAAAAACTGAAGCAGGGCACCAGCAGCACATGGCCCCAGATTCCTGTGCCTGTTTCCAAACCTCAGATCTTGCTTGCATGAACACATTCTTGGCCTCTTCTGCTCCAGTCTCCCTCTGGAAGGACAGAGGGAAGCATCCCCAACATTTAAGCTTCCACACACCTTGGAAGCAGCAGCAAGTTGGAGCACAAAGGGATTTCTCCTGGCTGGAGCTGCCCCAGAGCCGGTGTTTATCAGCACCACAAGGATGAAGGCAGCTCACAAGGATGCTGTGATAAATGCAAGTCGTTTTCTACTGAGTCATCACGTCCTGCAACAGCTGGTGAGCACAAAAGGTGCGAACAGAAATTGTAGCAAGGACTGCAAGAGAGGGAAGGAAATCTCCAGCTCCGTCTGCAGTCTGAGCAGCAGCAGAGGGATTATTAATTAATCAGGCTCTTTAGGGAGAAAGAACCAGCATAAGGACTAATTAAAAGAACATACAGCGGAGGGCAAAAGATTATTTATGATACTGAGTAACAGCCCTGCTACTTTTTCTCCCTTCCACAGGCCCAATGGGAAGGATTAACGGGACGCATTGTCTTTAATAAAACCAGTGGTTTACGGACAGATTTTGATTTGGATATCATCAGTCTCAAAGAAGACGGCCTTGAAAAGGTAGGCAGGGTTTGTTTTATCTGCATGTGGCTGAGGATAACGCCGGTGCTCAGCAACAGAGAGATGGTTGGTGCTGTATTGATTCCAGGTTTCTGGGGTTTATATAAAAGGATATTCACTTTGTGGGATTTCTCAGATCCTTTTCCATGCTCAACCATGACTCACTCGCCCTGAAGCCAGTGCGTGGGATTACAGATTGCAGAAGTGCTTGTGGCACTTTTCCTGGGATAGTGGAGGCAAAAGAAACTTTCTGAGCATCCATTAACCCCTCCCTGCCCTAAGCAGGCAGGAATGATGCCTGTCCCACTCCCTCTTGCTGGCCTGGCTCACAAACCCTCAGTTCTTCTCTGAGGAGACCACAGCCCTGGAGATCATCATCTGCAGTCATTTCCCACTATGAAATTGCCCAAGGCTGGGAACAGCCCCAGTTTATTACAACCTGGAATCTGCAGGATGATACACTGGGTATTTTGTTTATTACCTAAGGGACAATAAGGAAAAAAGAGAAGTGTGGCCTTGCCTGTCTGGCTGGGGGGTGTCATGAGGGTCGAGAGCATGAAAGCTGCAGCCTTAGGTCCTCCAAATTAGTGCAGATCTCCTCTGGGCACAGTAAAACCATGCTGATGTGCAAATCTGATCCCAGGTGTGCCTGGGGACTTAATTTCCTTCTCTTCAATTACTTAAAAAAAGCAAACTTAAAATAAAAAGGCAACACACAGAGCCTTAAAGCCCTTAGAATGCAGGTTTCAAGGTGAGATCAGCTGATGACAAACAGAGCAGCGAGCGGCCAGAGCACAGGGAGCTGTGATTTCCAGGAAATTCCATGATTCTGACTACTCTGTGGGCAGCTCTGTGTCCCTGTCCTGCTACAGGTGTCTATCACCTGTACAGGAGGAATTTGGCAGGGCAGCAAGGCCCTTTCTAGAGCAGAGTCTGCTTCGAGACAGGTACCAGGTGCCTGTGGCAGCCTGGCTCTGTCCCTCTGGGCAGGGGGACAGGTTCTGAACCCACAGGACACCTGGCTGGCAGCAGGGAGGGATTTCAATTACCTGTGCATGGCCTGAGAGCACAGGGGACTTGTCCAGGGAATTAATCACTCAGCACAGGGAGGCAGCCCCCGGGCTGGAGGCAGCCGTGGATCCATCCTCTGTTTGGAGGGGAGGCCCCCGTGCCACGTCCCCCTTTCCTCACCATTTGGCTTTCCTGGGATTTGAGATGAATGGCAGCCACATTTCCCCACCACAGCAGCAGCTCTGTGCCTCAGGTAACACAGCTCAAGGTCACCACAGCCCTCTCCTGCTGGGGAGATTTTGGTGTCAAATAAGGAATAAAGGAAAGGTTTCAAATCAACACAGTGACCTTCAGTCTGGCTGGTTAAGAAAGGAGGCAGGACAGAGCTGGGGAAGGTGCCTTGCAAGAACTGAGCAGCAGCTGACCTTTGCAGCCTTATTTCCTTACAAAATATTTTGTTTATAGAGCATAACCCAAAAATAACAAGACATCTTTTTGAAGTTTAGCAGCACCGAGGCGCTGCTGGAGAGCTGTGTTGGGCGGATAATAGAAAACATTCCAGCTTTTTGTACCACATGAATCCAAATGTTTAAGCACAGCCACAGAATCACCTGTCAAACCAACACCTCTCAGGTGGGCTGAGCAGAGCTGGCACCAGCTGGAGTTATTGCAGTTCTCTGTCACATCAAGCCCACTGGAAGCTGCCAAACCTGGACGTGTCCCCTGCACACCCCATCAACTTTTGTCTCCAATAATTCAGAGATTTCACAGTTCCCACCATTATTCTTCTGAAAGCTTCGTGTCAGCTCCAGAGGGGTTTTAAAGTATCGATGTCAAATCTCTGTTGAAGCCAGAATTCTGTCAATAGTTAATCTGAACTAACAAAACACCAAACTACAAACAAATCCCAGCTGGATTGTGCTTTATGTATCACAGCTTATGTTTGTTGAGCTTTAGGATTGAACCCCCTGATCCTCATACCTCCTGGATGTTCCAGGGATTACAGGAGTATTACCAAATCCTAATTACATATAGTTTGACTATCTGACTCACACAGTTCTCTTAAAGCACTTTTTCCTTTTTCTTCCTTTTTTAATATTTTAAACTGATTAATTCGGTCTTAAGTGCTGTGCATTTGATTTTCTTAAAGAAAACGTAGCAAGGCAGAAGTGATTGGGGCTGCAGTGCAGCAAACTGGGGCCTCTCAGGCTTGCTTTTTTCCCATCCACAATAATAACAATTTTTGACATTGCAGCTGTTGTGTGATCCAAGGCAGAGATGGGGGATTGCTTCGGTTTTACCTGAAATATTTAAAACCTTTCACAAAGTTCACGGAAACTCTTCCAGAATTTATGACAATTTTTTTTTGCCAGGCAGCATTGCTCATTACAAAGTCTCTTTTTGGGGATGCAGTAAAACCAAGTTCTCCCCTTGGACTTGCTGGAGAGGCTGAAGAATCTTAAAAACAGCAATAAATAAAAGATGGGAAGCTGCTGGCTCCCTGGTGGATTGAGCTGCCTGCCTTTGGCTTCTCTCCGAGTCCCACCTTGCAGTTTGACCCTACAGATGGATCGTTCTGCTCCCATTTCCAGGTGGGGTTTGTTTTTTTCTCACTGCCAGGCTGGCTCCGTGGCCACCCTGCTCCATTTGCTGGCAGCACTCCCACATCCCTGCAGCTTTCCTGACATTTTATCTCTCTGTCACAGTCCTTTAGCCACTCCTGCCTTCAAAGTTTGTCCCAAAGCCTCCCCTGCGCCGTGGAGATCAGGTTAACAGGCTTAGCCTCGCCCAGATGACTTCCTTAAACAGAGACATGCTTTGCCATTTCTGGATCAATAGACTTCATTGAAGTCTAATAATTTATTACATTTGACAGCTTGAGAAAACAGAGCACCTGAAATAGAGCTGATGTGCCTGTGCCACCCCCTCCTCTGGGTTTGCAGCCAGGATTGAGGCCACTCTATTGCAGGGATTTCCCAAAGGGGGGCCCAGGGCCTTGCCTAGAGAGGTGTTGGAAACCTCCAGCTGATTTGCCACGGCACAGAGAGCAGGAATGGGCCCTATCAGGGATCTGCAGACCTGCTCGAGCCCTTTTTAATCCTCCCCACCAAAGCAAATTGGTGGGGAAATGGAAAAGAAAGGAAATGGACTCCGATTTGTGGTTATTTTTCTTTTGTTGTGCTTTATCCTTGCCCAGATTTGACTCTTTAGTGTGGTTTGATTGTTGCTCTGTGCGGTGCCTTTGCAAATTGTTCATTCATTCAGCCCCTAAATTCCAGCTCCCACAGTCTCCATCCACTGCAGCAGCACAGGGACTGTGGAACATGTGTCACATGTGGAACATGGACTGACCTGCAGCTGAAGGGTTAATTCATGGTAATTCCAGTTTTGCTGCTGTTTGCTGAAGAAGGAAGCAAACCAAAAAAAAAAAAAAAAATTCTCTTTTCCAGGCCAGTAGGATGCTGGGAGCAAGTGAGGAATGCAAGGCAGGGATTAAGGAATGCAGGAAGGGATTGAGGAATTGGAGATGGGGGGGTTCACTCTGTTGCTTTGCTTCCTCTCAGGTTGGAGCATGGAGCCCTTCAGATGGTTTGAACATCACAGAAATCTCCAAAGGACGAGGGCCCAACGTCACGGACTCGCTGAGCAACAGATCTCTGATTGTCACCACGGTGCTGGTAGGGCACTGCCAGCCTGCCACTGTCCCTCCCCACATCCCCAGGGCTATCCCAGGGATCCCCAATGGCTCTGAAAGCTCCCCAGTGCCTTTCAAAAGGATGGGACTCGATACAGCGTGGATTTGTATCATAAAAGGAACGGGACCACGGTGCCCAGAGGGGAACAGAGACAGGGGACACCTGGTCTGGGGCAGAAGGGCTGGAACCAAAGGTCTTGTATCCTTCAGCAAGGGGTTAGCAGGGTGGGAGCTGAACGTAAGCCAAAGACAGATGCTGCAGCAGCTTTCCTTGCAAATCAGCCACTCCTCCTAACAAACTTCCCATCCACCACATGACATTTTTTCCCATTAAACATTTCCAGGGCTGTGGAATTGTCTGGGTCCAGGCCATGGTTCCCACCACACCTCAAAGGCCATGGCATAATGCAAAATGATGGAGCCAGGAGGGGACTGTCAGCCATCTGCCTTTCACAGGCTTTTTTCAGGCAACATTTCCATCTCAAGCTCTGCAAGCACGTAGGGATTACATAAGGCATGGGGTGAGATCAGTTCCCATTAATTGTGCCACTCCATGGGCCTGCACACGTGCCATGGGGCTTCCACCGTGGAACCAGGGCTGTCCTGGATCCCTGTGCCCAGGGGAGGAGGGAATGTGCTCAGACCTGAGTTCTGCAGTGATTGCGCTGCGTGTGCTGGAGTCTGGAACATAAAATAGAGCCCTGGATGTTATTTGCATTTGCAACACCCCTTTGTAGTTCTGCACTGCTGTAAATGACGAGAGAAGAGCCATAGGAGGAGCCTTTAAAAGAAAAAGCATGAAAGGCTATTTTTTTCCCTTTTGCTCATATTGCAGTGACTTGTTGGAAGAGAAATATTACCCCAGCAGCCAGTGCCGCTCTCCCCAAGCAATATGGGAACTGTGAAGTTATGAAATTGAGGGCACCTTCACTGAGAAATCGATTAGCAAACTGAGAGAGCTTGTGAATTGGATGTCTGGCTATTTTCAGTAATAAATTGTGAAATAGTCCGTGAATAAGTGGTTCACAGAGTTCAGAATTACCCCCTAGGAAATGTTTGAGACCTGGAGATACATTACTGAAGCGAGCGGCGTCCTAATGTTCAGTGCTTCGGCTGTTAAATATGTATGTAATCCCTGCAGCACTTCCCAAAATTAATAGTGCTTTATGGCTGCTCTGGAGCCATGGATTTATATCGAGATCCATAGATTCAGCTGATTCACAAACAAAGCACTAATTCCAGAGCAGAAAGCTGAGGAGGCGGCGGGGGAGCGCAGGATTGAGCCGAGCTGCGCGTGCCAAGCTAAACTCCATGGGCGTGATGTGATCAGCTGGGCCTTAGAACTCTGCAAATGGGGCTCTGTGTGCTGCCACGTCCCCTCCTGACCCTGCTGCTGGGGCAAAGGAGCACCCTCTGCCCCTCCGTGGGAGCACAGAGCCCCAGGGCAGAGCTGGAGGCTGGCAGGTGGGCAGAGACAAGCACCAGCAGCCTCCACAGCCCCACCTGAGCCCTCTCCTCGGAGCACCCCACCCCAAACCAGGCACTGTAACAGGGCTGTAATGAGTGCTCCAGACCTGCCCTCCCACCTCTTCACGCCCCCCCATGCCTGGGCAAAATCACAGGAGGCGTTTTCCAGCACAAAGCGCAGCCCTCCCTCACCCTCCCTCTCTGGCCACCCCACAGCAAGGACAGGAGCCCTGCAGACACCCCCAGTTTGAGCCAGGGACTGGCTGGAGGTACCTCACCTCCTCTTGCCTTGCAGCTCTTGCCTGCTGCCCACCACCTTTTCCATTTCCATCTGTCCTCCACACGTTTTATCCTCAGGCTCCCCAGTGTTGCTCGTCCTCGGTGGCTGCCCAAGCCTGAGAGGCACCAAAGGATGCTGGAGTTCTCTGTGTGTCCATTTCAACTCCACCTGCCAGCCCCTGCTCGAGGGGAGGGATCCACAGGTGCTTTAGCTCCTGTCCCCTGTGCTGGAGCTCTGCTGTGGCTCACACACCCCCAGCTCTCTCAGACAGCCAGAAGTGCAGCACACAGCACAAAGTTTCCCTGGCCAGAGGCAGGGCAGTGTCCATCAGGCAGTGCCAGCACAGAGTGAGCTCACTGGGGAGGTTTTGGGGTGGCCCCAGCCATGCACAGCCCCCTCACCCTGCATTTCCCCCACCAGCCTGTGGTGAATGGCAGGTGCCGTGTGCAGGGCGCGGGGGTGAGTTTGTCCTCCCCCTCTTTTGCTGTTTCTAACACTTCATTTTCAGAGCATGAAATGGTTATTTTTCTCCCTGAAATCCTACCAAATGGAAAACAGTTGGCTGCTCAGAAGAGACAAAATTAAATTTTGTGGGGTAAACAAGGTTGCTAATTAGCTGATGCGCTGTGCAAAGTTAATTTATTCCCAACATGTCACAGTGCCAGCCCTGCCTGGAGAGCCGCTGCCTGGCGGCTCGGGCTGACCTGCAGAGGTGGCCTTGCCTCCAGCTGACCCTGAACTGGGAATTTTTGCTCTCCCTGTGCAGGAGGAGCCCTTTGTGATGTTCCGTAAATCTGACACGGCGCTGTTCGGCAACGACCGCTTTGAGGGCTACTGCATCGACCTCCTGAAGGAGCTGGCCATCATCCTGGGCTTCTCCTACGAGATCCGCCTGGTGGAGGACGGCAAATACGGGGCCCAGGATGAGAAGGGCCAGTGGAATGGCATGATCAAGGAGCTCATCGACCACGTGAGTGAGCCCCTGCGTGGCTGGGGAGGGTTGGCTGTGCCAGGCTGTGCCCACCACTGTAAGAGCCTGAATGAGAGATGCAGGACTGCTCTCCAAAATGCAGTTTGTTACATCCAAGATGTTACAGCAGTCCAGGGGTGTGGGTGACAGAGCCTGTGCCTACAGCTGTCAGCTCCTGCTGCAGGCAGGCCTGGAGACCCACATCCCTCATTCAGACTCTTACTAATGGTGCCTCACGTTGGGCGCCACTGTAAGAGCTGAAATGAGGGATGTGGGACTCCAGGCTGCTCTCCAAAATGCAGTTTATTCCATCCAAGAGTTTCAGCAATCCAGGGTTGTGGGTGACAGAGCTGTGCCTACAGCTGTCAGCTCCAGCTGCAGGCAGGCCTGGAGACCCTTTGGTTTAGGTTACAATGCATTATTTACTTTTCTTTTGGTTATAATGCATTCTATACTTTGCTGAGCATCTCAATACAGTAGAACCAATCTATACCTGAACTTTTATCTATAGCCTATCATAACTACTGTAATTACCATACTTATGTCACTATTCTCCAATCACTAAAAGTTAGTACATTACAGTTTAAGCTAGAAGTTGTTTTTCAGTTTTTTTTGCAGTGGAAAATTCTGAGACTTTTTTTACTTGCAACATCTGTTGACTTGTTTGCCTGTGCTATCTTTCTGCTTGGTAAAAACATCTTCTTGTTTGGGATGGGTTTATCCTTTGCTCTAAGCCATAAAAACCCCTTCTAACTAACACACCCTTTGCCTCCTTGGTTATCCAGTAAGACTGGCTCAGCAATTCTTTTCTTCTATATCAAAACTTGCTTTCATTTCTATTCCTTCATCAGATTCTACATTCAAAAATCTTTCTGCTAAGCATACATATCTGTGAGACTTTCTTGTCAAAACTTTCATCCCTCCCAACATCCCTGGGCTGGCTCTCTGGGGTGGGAAAGGTGAATTTCTCACTGGCCCAGAATACCCACAGCGAGCTCCTGACCCTGCTTGGCTCCTTGTCACACTGCTTGCCAGAATATCCCTGTGTCTGGCTCTTCCAAATATTAATTTGCAATTCCTGAAAAGGGCTGTTTTCCCAGCACAGAAATGGGCCCAGTGGCTCTAGGCCTGTCCCACGGTGGGACACAGGCTGGGTGTGTGGAGAGGGCAGAGGCTTCCCCTGGGTCCAGGGCACATGGGCTGTCCTGGGCTGGCAGCATGAGCTGCTCTCACCCCCAAGGACAAGCACAGGCAAGGGCACAGCGCCAATGCAGCCTGGGGAGCCCAGGCATGTCCCAGACACAGCCCAGCCCAGAGGAGACATCCAGACTGAGGGAGCACGTGTGCCCTGGACAGTTTCATTTTTTATTTTCCGTAAGAGCAACTTATTTACTAAAATCTCCTGGGACACAGAGCTCCCTCTGCCACACAGCAGCTGTGCTTCTCCTTCCATGGCCATTTCCAGGAGCCCTTTAAGCCCCAGGGAACCTGTTGGAGCAGCAGCTTTGCTCCCACAGCCGCCAAAGCGTCGCCGCCTCTGAAACCGCCACTTGCGGCCAGAGCTTGCTCAGTTTGCTAATTAGATATCTTGCCTCCAGCACATCCTGTGATCCCAAGGGCCCAGTTATGGAGGTGAGGAAAGCTGGTGTTTTTATGAATATCTGATTCCCAGAGAAGGCCTCTGGAAGTAAAGCTAAGGACAAAAAGAATGCTGCTCCCTGCAGCACAGGCAGCAGTGCAGGCAGCGCAGAGAGCTCTCCTCCTGAGAATCCTTCTCAAGTGGGGCAGCCCTTGACCACCTCCAGGTCCTGGCTACATTCTGAACCCAGAGCCCAGGCAGCAAAGACACAAAAATAATCCCCTGTAGAGCTGTGATGTTCTTACCATTCATGGGAGAAGAATGAGTTTGCTGGGTGAGTCACTGTGGTGTGTGGAGAGTCAAGCACTGGCTGGGGCTGATGAGTGGCTCAGGAGCTGGGCTGGGCTTCCAGATCTGCTCTCTCTGCCCTAAATGACATTGGACAAGTTGCTTCTGTGCCCTGCTTCCTCCATCTGTAAAATGCAGATGATCATGATTATGTCCCTTTATAGGGACAGAGTGATGCTTAATCAGTTTGTGACAAGCGCTGCAGCCCCGGGCTGGCCTGGCCCAGGGAGCAGGAGAGCAGCAAGGGCAGGCAAGGACAGCCCTGGGGAGCAGGACTCCATCTCATGGGGGAGCTCTGCAAACCTGCCTTGGTGCTTCTCCTTCTGGAAAACTCCATGCAGCTCAAAGCACAGATTTTAGAGCCTCTTACACAACAGCCCCGCCGAGTTCGATGAGTGGCAGTGTCCCAGTGGAAGCTCTGCTGCTCTGAGTGATGTGAGTGACACAGATCAGAGCTGACACCGAGTGGCAGCTGTGCCCCTTGGCAGAGCCCCCCGGGACACGGCTCCTCTGCCTGGCCCTGCTGCTGGGAGCAGCCTCTGGAGCCCATTCACTGCTGGGAGCAGCCTCTGGAGCTCATTCACTGCTGGGAGCAGCCTCTGGAGCTCTCTCAGTGCTGGGAGCAGCCCCTGGAGCTCATTCACTGCTGGGAGCAGCCTCTGGAGCTCTCTCAGTGCTGAGAGCAGCCTCTGGAGCTCTCTCACTGCTGGGAGCAGCCTCTGGAGCTCTCTCAGTGCTGAGAATGGGCTCTGGAGCTCTCTCAGTGCTGGGAGCAGCCTCTGGAGCTCATTCACTGCTGGGAGCAGCCTCTGGAGCTCTCTCAGTGCTGAGAATGGGCTCTGGAGCTCTCTCAGTGCTGGGAGCAGCCTCTGGAGCTCATTCACTGCTGGGAGCAGCCTCTGGAGCTCTCTCAGTGCTGAGAATGGGCTCTGGAGCTCTCTCACTGCTGGGAGCAGCCTCTGGAGCTCTCTCACTGCTGAGAGCAGCCTCTGGAGCTCATTCACTGCTGGGAGCAGCCTCTGGAGCTCTCTCAGTGCTGGGAGCAGCCTCTGGAGCTCACTCACTGCTGGGAGCAGCCTCTGGAGCTCTTTCACTGCTGGGAGCAGCCTCTGGAGCTCTCTCACTGCTGGGAGCAGCCTCTGGAGCTCTCCCACTGCTGGGAGCAGCCTCTGGAGCTCTCTCACTGCTGGGATTGAGCTCAGGAGCTCAATTGCCACTGGGAGCAGCCCCTGGAGCTCTCTCTGCACTGCAGGGCTCACAAGGAACAAACCCCTCCCAAGGGAACAGAAGCCAATCATTCAGGCCATGTCACTTCCAGTGTCCTGCAAGACACCACAGGGCTCTCAGGAGGTTTCAGCCATTCCCAAAGCTGTGGTCAACTAACTATGGTCATTCAGGCCAAACCATGCCACTTCCAGTGTCCTGCAAGACACCACAGGACTTTCAGGAGGCTTCAGCCATTCCCAAAGCTATGGTCAGCTACCTGAGATAGACAAGAAGGAGGTTTGAGGAGCAATCTCATTAAATAACCCAAAATTCATGGTCAAACCTGCATTATAGCATTTCTTGGGTAACTATCTGAAAAGCCAATCAACACACAGCAGCAGGAAAGGGCCAAACCTCCTCTTCTTGCATGCTGTGTTGTTAACTCTGAGATGCAGCTCTGTGCTCTGTCCTGCATGGCTGAGCTTGTGCCTGCAGGGACACTGCCCAGGCCCCACATGAAGCCATTAGCTCCTTTATCTGCATGCCATTGCTTTTTATAGCAGTGTTTATGTAAAGCCTTCAGAAGTGGAATTGCAGCCAGATGGGCCCTTCCTCAGCAGCATCTTCCCCTGGTGTGGGGAAAGGCACAACCCATGGGCACTGCAACAGGCCAGAGAGAGCCTATTTCACACCCAGGAGGAAAAGTGTTAGAGACAGCATTCAAAGCAAGTGGTGGTGATGAAAACAGGGCTGCCCACATCCAGAGTTTGATATCTGAGCTGCCTTTCCTCTGTGTTCAGCTGGTTTTCCTCTGTGTTCAGCCCTGAAAACAGGGCTGCCCACATCCAGAGTGTGATATCTGTGCTGGTGTTCCTCTGTGCCTCCTTCTCATAAACAAATTGGAATCATTCAGGTGGGAGCATAAAGCAGGCAGGATTTTGTGAGGTCCAAATAGCCAGGTCAGGATTGATTCAGGGCAGAAAGCCTTTGCATTGCTGAAGACCCACTTAGCCCCCTGGACTGCTGTGACACAGGTGGGCTGAGCTGGTGTGGGCTCCCTGAATGACCTGGGCAGAGCAGGGGGTGCTCCTGGGGTGAGGTGAGAGGCTAAAATGGTGATTATTGTTCCTGAGAGGGCCTGGGGGATGTGGAAGCAGCAGATTCTGAGTAGCAGGAATCAGCAGATTCTGCATGCCAGGAATCAGCCAACTCAGCTGAGGCTGAAATTTGGAGAGGAGGAGATGGGCAAAGCAAGGGGCACCTGTCCCCTGGGCTGGAGATGGCATCAGAGGAGCTGGGCGAGGGTGGCCTTGGCAGGTGCATGACAGCAGTGTTTGGGGGACAAAGGTGCTGCCACCAAAGGGGTGAATGCCCAAAAGCTGGCACCCCAAGGGTGAATCACGTGCTGGGACAGGTGTTTACACAGTGAGCACTCTGGGCTTGCTGCAGTCACGAATCCTCCCCCTCCTCTGCCTCTGATCCAGACGTGCCTGGCCACAGGCAGGGATGCCTCAGGCTATGATCCTTTGTAAAATCCCTGTGTTTCTAGTCTGGCCTTAAGCATAAACAGGAAAAGCAACAGCAATCAGAGCAGCCACAGCACGACCCTGTCTCTGACAGGTCCCCAGTAGCAGATCCAGAGACAACAGCCCCATGCAGCCTCATGCAACAGCCCTGCCCTGCTGCCTTTCATCTGCTGCTCATCCTCAGCACAAAAAGCCCCTGTTTTGAGGAGTTCAGTTCATTCCCTGGAGAAGTAACCTCAGCCTACTGCTTATTGTCACCCCTCTGGCCATTCCCGCAGAGGAGCCTTGATCAGAAGGGCCAAGAGAGCTGAACTCAGGTATTCAGGGAGGTCTGGGGGACCCAGGTGATGCAGAGAAGCTCCTGAGCCCTTTATTCATAACAAACAGGGAGCCTGACAACTGCCAAACCTCCTCCTTTCAGCAACAGTGAACTGCTATTGATGTTTATTCATAGAAATTATTACTGATACAAGCAAAGCTCCACTGCACACCGTGGCCCATCCGTTCTGATTTATAAATTCCAGTTGTCTGGCAAAGCAATGCCTGCAAATCTTCCCTATTGTTTGTGGGCAGAATCCCATAAAACCAGCAGAATGAGTTGTTCTGGACATTTTGCACAAACTTGTTCACAAATAAAACTTGTCTTCTGCCACGACAGTGCACATCACATTGCCATTCAATCTGAAACTTCAGGTGGGAATAAAAGAGATGTGGCAAATACTGGGGTTTGTGATGGAAATCCCTGCCAATGGCAACTGTGGAGGACTTGTAATATCCATCCTTAGGGACTATTCCTGACAGCTGATTTAACAATTCCACAATAAGTGGGCATTTTCTGACAGTAAATTCTGGCAGAAATACATGTGGCACCACACTGCCAGCTCCCCATTAACTCTCCTGCACTGGTGGATGTTTTACCTCACTTGTCATGAACTGGGGCTTCATTTGATGTCACTGGGACAAGGATAGGGAGAAAACAATTTAATTGGATGTGTCCTCCACCTTTTGTTTAGACAATGCAGGATCTCAGTGTTAGGGACAGGATGGTGTCACAGACATCTTTTATGGAAAATCCTTTCCTTAGGATTTTTCTTCCTGAGAAGCTGAGAGGCCTCAGGAACAAAATGTAACCAATGGTTATCTGCTGCTGTGGAATGCAACAGGTGCATCTGGGATTGGGCTCATGTGGTTGTTTCTCATTAATGGCCAATCACAGCCAAGCTGGCTCGGACAGAGAGCTGAGCCACAAACCTTTGTTACCATTCTTTCTTATTCTATTCTTAGCCAGCCTTCTGATGAAATCCTTTCTTCTATTCTTTTAGTATAGTTTTAATATAATATATATCATAAAATAATAAATCAAGAGACTTTCTGATACCTCAGGGTCATCTCAACCCCAGCAACCTGAGAATGGAGCAGGAGCAGGGCACAGCAACCAAGCAAGGAGAGCAGGGAGCAGAGACAGGGCCCAAGGCAGAAGCCCCAGTGCTGGCAGTGGCAAGAGACACCGAGGGATGACAGTGCCAGACCTGGGTAACAATTAAATCAGTAAAACACACACACACACTATTTCTGTCTCTCAGGCAACGCACACATGATTAGTTTATGTAAATACCTAACGCAGATTGGCAAAATAAGCACAGAGGCAGCTTCTTTTCCTGAATAAATATTTATCTTGGTGCTTATGCTGTTGGTGGGCTCCTCCATGACCAGCCACTGCCTGCAGCTTGGCTCTGGCTGAGGGCAGGCACTGCAGGATCCCCACAGTGACCACGGCTGCACAAGAGCTGTCCTGACCCACAGGCCACATCTCCCTGATAAGTGAGAACTTGGAGATAAGAATTGGCATTTTCTGATGAAAACCAAATCTCCCTGCAGCAAATACGATCATCCCTGTGCTGAACACCCAGTGCTGAACTCACAGCTGTTCCAGCCAAGTGAAATGCTGGAACTGGGTGAATGAGGAGATCCAAACCCTTGGAGGTGTGTTAGAGAAGTGTCTGTGTTTGATGTGCCTTGGCAGAATTCATCTTTTTGGCCTCAATTCAGCAGAACACTTAAGAACAGGCACAAGACTTGGAAGACGTGTGAGCTCCAGTAAAACAGAGGTGTAGGCTTAAGTGGTTTTGCTGGACAAGGGTCTCTAAGCCACTGGCACTTGCTCTAATTCCTCATCTTTAATAAAACCCACCTGACTGTGCAACAGCACAAGAGCCAGGGCTGAGTAAGGGAAGCAGCCAGAGTCTGGTAATTGACTGCCCAGTTTGGAATGTCAGAGCACGACAAATCAAAGCTTCACCCTTGGTGGGTTTGATTTAGATCCTCTCTGTCAGCAAAGCCTTAATTAGAGGCCACCTTCAGAAAAATCTGCATTGATAAAAAGGATGTGGAAGTGCAGCCCTGTGCTGCCTCTAATTGCTCAGAACATACCCCAGCCCAGGCTCCAGAACCCCTGCTCTGTCCTGCCTGAATGTGACATTCCCTGCAAGGACACAGGGCTGGGAGCACATCACAGGAGCTGCTGGAGCCACACAGTAAAATTTTATTTCTGTGCTAAAAGCAGTTGGATCCCTGGGCATCCATGCAGAGCTCTCTCTCTTCATTTTCTGTGGCAAAGCACAAACTCCAGGCTGTTCTTTAGCTCACTGTATTGTTCTGACAAATTTGGCTGAGGATCCCTCAGCCTGGCCATTGCCAGTGAGCTCTGACCACAGAACATTTGCTGCCTCCTTCAGAAAAAACCCATAGCCAAATCCTTCAACATCTTCCTTGCCTTTCCCTGGTGAGTCAGGACACCCACACAGAAGTGATGGAGGAGGGAAAATGCTGCATTTCTTTTGCCATTTCTGCCTTGTGACTGTGTGGAGCACTAAGCCAAAATTTCCAGGTGTGCTGTGAGGTGGTGGGAGCAGCCAAGCTCCAAAGCTGCCAGGATGGTCCCTAGGGTGCAGAACATCCCCAGCTCAGGCTGGGCAGCCACCAGTGCCACCTCCAACCCCCTTCAGCTTCTGCCCATGTCACCACAACTGGCACAATGGGCTCGGTGGGAAAATATTGTCCCCGTTTTCCACAGGTTTTGACAAATGCCAGTGACTGAAATGAGCTCTGATGTGAAAATGAATTTCCATCTGGAAAGTGAGAAGGAAGGGAAACCAGGGAGCAGCTGGAGAGCCATGTTAGAACAAAACCACATCATTTTTACCCTTGTTACATAATTCCTGAAGGCCTCTGTTCAGGAGCTCTAAGGCTGCACTCTTTGGAGGGGGTCCCTTACACACACACACACACACACACTTGTAAATGGAAAAAAAGCTCATTTAGAGACCCTTCCTTCAGTAAAAGACCTAGATTCTTCTATTTATAAATATTGCACTGACTTGATCACAGATTGGCAAGGTCAAATGAAAACTTCAGCACAACCTTTACCCCCAGCACAGGCCAGGGATCTGCTCTGGTTCCTCCAGTTCCTGCTGAAGCAAAGTATGTTCCAGCCAGTATTGATTTAAAGTCCATGAATAATGACAAATCTACTGTATCTCAAGGTAATTATCACTCATGGGTAATTTAGAATTTTAATTTTCAGAACCAGATGTTAAATAAATCTTGCCCAGGCTCCTGGCATGGGGGGAGGTTCTGCTCAACTTCAGAGCTGTAATTTATGTGTCTGTGTTTCCTTGGAAGTTCACAATCCCAAAGAATGATTTGCAAAGCTCAGGCAAGGAGGGTGATATTGAGGAAACCTTGGATGTGTTTACTTGTGGCTTTTAAGAACCTGGATGAATGTTTAGTGAGAGGAATGAGTGCAGCTCTTAACCAACAGAAAGAGGGTGAATGTGGGCTGCTCGTTGAATTAACACAGAAATTAGTAAATAATTAGAAATAATGGAAACAAGCACACTTCGTACAAGCTGTCAGGATTAGGAATATGCTCAGCTGAAATTCTCCATGGAGCTCAGAGCACTCCAGCAGGATGGGCTGAGGAGTCCTTCATCAAACAGAGTTTGCTCAGAGGGTCTCACCTGCACACCTCCCTCCCACCCACAGGCACTGAGCATTCCTGCCTGAGTCTGAGCCCCTCAGGCTGCACCATGAAATGACTGAGGAAAAAGAAATTGAACCTTTTAGCTCAGGCTGCCACAGCATGGCTCCCTGCAGCTCCATCCACACCCTCCTCTCCTCTTGCATCAGTGTGAAAGGCAGAGCAACAACAAATGAAAGGAAGGACAACAATAACAGCAACAAACCACTGCTGCCAGCAGCAGGCTCTGCACGCAGCCTACTTGCTGGTGTAGAGTCTTGTGGCAAGGAGCAAGCAAGACAAGGGCCACTGACACTTTAGAACTCTGCAAAGTCTGATTTTTCTGACCATTTCAGGAGAGTTCATCACATCGGGGCAGAAGCTGCAGAGGCTGTAATGCCTCCATTTGGTTGTGCTGTATTTTAGAGTGAATATTGTACCCCCAACATCTGTACTCCACAGCAAACACTGTACCCACATCTGTATTTCACAGAAAACACTGTTACCCCAACATCTGTACTTCACAGCAAATACTGAACCCCAACATCTGTATTTCACAGCACTGTACCCACAACATCTGTATTTCACAGCAAACACTGAACCCCAACATCTGTATTTCACAGAAAACACTCTACCCCCAACATCTGTATTTTACAGTGAACACTGTTACCCCAACATCTGTACTTCACAGCAAACACTCTACCCCCAACATCTGTATTTCACAGCACTCTACCCCCAACATCTGTATTTCACAGCAAACACTCTACCCCCAACATCTGTATTTTACAGTGAACACTGTTACCCCAACATCTGTATTTCACTGCAAGCACTGTACCCACATCTGTATTTCACTGCAAACACTGTATCCCAACATCTGTATTTCACAGCACTGTGCCCCAACATCTGTACTTCACAGCAAACACTCTACCCCCAACATCTGTTCTTCACAGCAAACACTGTACCCCAACATCTGTACTTCCCACCAAATGTGTACCACACGTGCAACAGCAGGGGGGAAGCCCAGGGCTGCACTCTGGGGGTCCTTGGCCCGTTTCTGCCGTGTGAGAGCTGTGGTGTCTCCAAGGGGATGGAAACACCTTGGTTTGTGACTCCTCCTTTCTCCCTGCCTGTGTCCCTCCCCTCTCTGCAGAAAGCTGACCTGGCTGTGGCTCCTCTGACCATCACTCACGTCCGGGAGAAAGCCATTGACTTCTCCAAGCCCTTCATGACCCTGGGCGTCAGCATCCTCTACAGGAAGCCCAACGGGACCAACCCCAGCGTGTTCTCCTTCCTCAACCCTCTCTCTCCTGACATCTGGATGTACATCCTGCTGGCCTACCTGGGGGTCAGCTGTGTGCTCTTTGTCATAGCCAGGTAAGGGGTCCCTGCTGGCAGCTGCAGCATCAAGCCCTTGTCACCCCTGAGATCCCCCCCTGGTCCATCCCCATGGGCTGGATGGTTTCACTTTCACACTCTCACAGCATGGAAGAATTGTAAGATTTCAGGAGTTTTGCAGCCTTTCTGTCAGCACCTCCTGGTGTATGAAGAGATGCATTTCTGTGTCATTGTCCGTTCATGCTCTCTGCTCACACCTTTCCCAGCCTCTGCTGGGACCTGAGCTCCCATCTCCCCCACCATTTCCCACTTCTGTCTCTGTAAAGCTCACACAAACCCTTCCCTATATCAAAAGAATGGAGATGCCTTTGCTACGGATCAGACATTGTGTCTGTTGACAAAATTAATATGCATCTAATTAGCATGTTTAAATCCTCTATGTTTAAAGGCAGAATTTGCATACATTTGCATGTCTTGTTAATTCCACAGGGCCTTTGATGAGACACAGTCCAGGGCTGCTCTCAATCCATGATCCCACCTTTTCAAATCAAAACAAAGCACTTTCCCTCTCCTGCAGGCAGGTGCCCTCCATGACCACACACAGCCCTCAATGGAATATTTTGCATAAATACCTCATCCAGGAAACATTCCTCAGCCCACTCTGCAGTTTGATGCTCATTTCTCATTATTTCCAGTTGAATTTATAGCAGTGGGGACTTCAGAACCCTCCCTGTTTTGGTCTCAAGGCCTGCTGTGCTGCACCTCCCTGGGAGCATCCATCAGGAGCGTTCCCCCCTCATCCACTGGCATTAGGAGTCAAAGGAGAAATCAGATACAGAGCTGGAGCAAACAGACTCCATTAACCCTGATGGTACAGCAAATCTACAATTTTCATCATCCCTCAGTCCAGGGGGGCATTTAGAGCAGATTTCCTGCATTCACTCTGTCATATCCAAATTACACAGAGCAGCAGAGTGAGCTGGGCACGAGTGCTGTGAGCACCTGCAGTGCTCACATTAGGAGCTTGTTTTTTCCAGCTCATAATGGCTAGATCCAGCCCCCATTGTCCAGACCCCACTTCCAAAGCATGTTAAACATGCATGGTGAGGCAGGTACATCCTCTGGTTCCTCCTCTGCACGGGGACAGAGCTGGACATTTGTTTTCTGTCACTGTTGTATCAGGGACAGATGAATGAAGCAACACAGACTCCAAGGTCTCCTCAGAAGTGAAGTTTATTAAATATCACATTCTTTTATGGACTGTTCCAAGAAAGCTGGACCTGATTGGTCCTCAATCAACACCCCTCACCTCCCTGGCTAATGAGGAGCACCCTTCTTGTACACATCTTACAAGTAAACAACAAGTTCAAAACACCAGCTGCAAAGATTAAAGATTATTTTAATTCTTTCTCTGAGCTTTCTCAAAGCTCCCTCAGAACAATGCCTGGGAGAGTTTATCTGACTTTCTCCCTGACCAGACTGTCAGCATCCAGTTTTCCTCTCAGAGGATATGGAGGGCCCTCCCTGATCCAGATCCTGCAATCACCCTCCTGCCTTGTCCTTGCCTTCCCTCCCCACCCAGCCTGTCAGGGATAACCTGGTGCTCTCAGCAGCACAGGACTCTCCTCTGGGCATGTGCACCCAAGGTAACCATGAGAAGGAAAATCCTCTGCTGGCTGACAGACAGCCCTTGTCTGTCTGTCCCTGTCATCCAGGCAGGGCACAGCTGAGTGGGTTTCGATGGCACAACCTGCTCTTGTGGCCTGCAGGGACAATCCAAATACAATTTTACATTTTGGAGCTTATTTTTCCCAGCTCATAATGACCAAATCCAGCCCAAATTGTCCAGATCCCAGTTTCAAAGCATGTTAAATGTGCAAATTGCATCTGCATGGGAAATGCTGCAGAAAGGCTGAAGGAAATGCTGGGGCAGGCCCTGATGTGAAGCCCCTCAGTCACCACATTGCACAAACAGGGATGTCTGTCCAAGCATGGCAGCATTGCCTGGCTTTTGGCTGATGTTGAGGGATGAAAACCTGAAGAACTGTGGCTTTGTCTCAGGTTTTATTCTGATATGAACCTCAGCACCTCACTCCATCACATCAATTATGATGTTGTAGAACAATTTTTCCCTATCAGGCTATTTTTTTTTGGACTAAATTCAACACATAAAATATTGCAATTACAGTTCCTTTTTCACATTTTGCTCCTGACATTTCTTCTGTCATCCTATTTTTCAAATAACACCAAGTATTCAGGGTAATTAAAATTCTGCTGGAATGGTCTTTTTAACACATAGAGATGGAAGGCAAGAGATTTCACAGGGAAAATATTTATTGCATTCTGGAGTAATGGAAACAATATCTGCTTTTGACCCCAGCAAGGCCTCTGAAATCCAATTCTCAGCAGAAAACCACAATCAAAATAGAAAAGCCTTAATTCAGAAACATGACTCTTCTGAACTAGGCACCAGAGCCCTCTGCTCATGCCATAACCATAGGTCAATGCCACTTAAAACAGACTCAGGAACTATTTAGAGGCAGGCAAAGGATGGATTTGGTTCATCTGTCATTTTAATCAGCCTTTCTTCACTATTGATGGAGCTCCCGGCCCCCAGGGAGCCACCAACACTGGCTGGCCTCACAGCTCCCTGGGCTGCTGTGTCTGGAGCTTCTGGTGCCAGTCCTTGGGCTCAAACAGCCTCCAAATTACACCAAACCCCTTTGGCTGCGTGGCAGGGTGGATTTAATCTTCATTCTAATTGCAGCAAGATCTGGTGTGGCATTCACATTCTCTGAAAAAAAATCCTTTTACGCTTTTTCTCCTGGGAAGCTGAGAAACCTCGGAGAAAAGGAAACCAATTCTGATCTCATTTGCTTCTCCTGTGTTTTGCTGCTTTGGAATGTGTTTGGGGATTGTTTACCCACAGGTGATTGTTTCATTGGGTTCTGCTGTGAGTTGTTTTCTCTCTTTGGCCAATCAGGGCCAAGCTGTGTTGGGACTCTGGAAAGAGTCAGGAGTTTTCATTATCATCTTTTTAACATTCAGTAAGTATCCCTTCTGTATTCTTTAGTATAGTTTAGTACAGTATTCTCTAATATAATATAGTATTATAAAGTAATAAATTAGCCTTCTGGAGTCAAAAACTAAAATTAGCTCTTCATGGAGTCAGATGCATCATTCCTGCCTTCATCAGGACATTCCCTGCAAATACAATGGAAGTAGTCCATTGAAAATTTCTCTGGAGACACAATTTAGACCCAAAAGTATTTTGTGTTAGATCTTTCAAATTTCTTCCAAATGCTTCAACTTCCCGCCCAAAGAGCTGAAAGAGGCAGGAGAATGATGCTAGGTTTTGATGAAATATTTCTCAGAGCCCAGAGTGCATGTGAGGATGAGGGAAGCCAGCCACAGAGGATCCTGAATTCCCCAATTGATTTGAGCTCTGGGGTCAATGAGCTCCTCTCCCTCCTTCCTTCGTTACCTCTTGCTTCCACTAATGGTTTCTCTGCTCTGGAGGCTGTGGCTGCTTTGTAGATTTCTGAATATTTCTCTGTCATTTGAGCTGCACCGGTAGGTTTTTGCTCAGACCTTGAAGTTCTCCAGCGTGTCATCTTGCCAGGCTCATTGATCTCACCCATTCCCTTTCTTTTTTCATGGTCTTTCATTGGCAGCCCAAGAAAGTTTTAATCTAATTCCTGAACTCTGGCTTTATCTGACAGAAAGGACCAAGACACCATCCTTTATCCACCTCTGGTGTGAATCTATAGCAAGTTCCAAGGAATAAGCAGCATGTAAAGCCAGGTCTGAGTTCAGCCTGGTTCTTGTTTCCTTGCTGATTTCCTCTGATTTAAAGAGCAGAGGAGGGTGAGCAGCAAGGAGAGCCCAACCTGGATGAACAAGCAGCAATGCCAGGGTGCAGCCTGAGCAGGACCTGGGCTTCCACATCCCAAACCCAGCACAGGGAACAGTCCCTGCTGCAGGAAGGTGAGATAAACCAGGAGGAAAGGAGAGCTCATTGCACTGTAACTTGAAGGTGGGAGACAGAAGCAAAAAGTGGCACAGCTGTGCCCCTCCAGGGTAACCTTTTCTGAAGCCACAGGAGCTGTGGGCTGTGCCCTGTCCATCCTCAGGGATGGTTTTCCCCCAGTCCCCTCCCATTCTTGGCACTGCCAGGACCACAGCTCAGCACTCCCACGTGCCCAGGGCAGGTTTCAGTGCCAGGAGGTTCCTGGCAGGGATCTGGGGCCCTTCTCCAAACAAATCCAGCTGTCTGAGCCAGGCCACCCTGGAATGGAGCCACAAACCCTCTCCTTGGGTGGTGGCACATCTGGTGGGGAATTACAGAGGGAAGCATCTCCTGATAGAGGCTGTGGGCTGGGCTTTGAGAAGGGGCTGTTGTGAATCTCCAGGGATTCCAGAAGGAAGCAGAGATGATAATTAATGCCTGGTTCAAAAGCAATTATACCAATTATGTTTTTAATTTAATCTCTGCAAAATTTGGGACTCTCAGAAAATGTAAATAAACAGCTCTAAAAATATTAACATCTCTCCTGTTTAGCATCCTCCCCAGATCCTGGCTAAATGAGCTCATTCCCAGCAGTGCTTGCCTGCCAATCTTGGGCAGAATTTGCAGAGATGTTCCTTGGAAATTCCCTCAGTCTTGCTCAAGAACTGCAGGGCTATCCATGGAAATTCATCCCCACAGGGATTAAGTTTGTCCACAGCAAACTGCCACCACACCCCAGTGTTCTGCCAGTGCCCTGACTGGGCCAAACTCCTGCTTGTCAGGATGATGGAAGGTTCTGCTTCTCAGTGACCTAAATCCCACCCTGATTCCCATGTGCATTGGTGGGAGAATCTCCTAAAATACCAAATTTGTCCCTGCTAATACTGCAGAATGACCAAGGCTCCTCCTTAGTCAACCAAAAATGCCATTTTTCCCACATTTTTGAACTGGTACATACAAGAGGTTATGTGTCTGGACCCCATCCCATCCCACCATCACATGCTCTGGGTGCTGTTGTAGGACACAGTAGTGAAAAGATGATCCAAAGTGACCAAAGGCTCTGGGGAAGCCATCTGAGACACCTCAGGAGGACTTGGCTTCCCAGGTCTCTGCTCTCCAGAATGCAGGACACAGATTTACAGCTGTTGGGTGGCTTGGGCTGAATTTGCCTTTTTCTCCATAAAGCACCAGAGGGTCAGCAGCCCCTGCACAGCAGCACCAGAGGCACTGAGACTCTTTTTTTTCCAGTTCTTTTAGGGTCTTGTCCTGCCACATCCCAACTAAGTGATGCCTCAAGATTGTAGCCTTTATATTTTTCAAATCCTGTGCTGCCTTAGTGCATAGCTCCATATAGAAGTGTTGGTTAACTATCTTCACACTTTGGTCAGACAAAACAATCACTTTAGGCCTGAGACCCAAGGACACCCTACAGCCTCAGGCCCTGAAAAGTATAAACAACAGTGAAATGTGGGGAGCAAACTGGGGGTAATTGACTTCATTACCTGAAGCTGTAATTAAGGATTAACCCCTGATGTGCAAATGGACCAAACTCATAACTGTATGAAAAACTCGTGACCATTTTGGGTGTAGCCTCGGAAGGCTTTGGCTGGCCAGGGTGTATCTATTGAAGGCTTTTAATAAATCCCCACTTTATTCTCTTGATCCTGGCTAGTCTCTGTCCTAGGAGCCCCCCAAGGCATCATCAGGAGCTCTGTTTCCCTGTGTGCTGCAGGTTCAGCCCATATGAGTGGTATGATGCCCACCCCTGTAACCCGGGCTCAGACATCGTGGAGAACAACTTCACCCTCCTGAACAGCTTCTGGTTTGGGATGGGAGCGCTGATGCAGCAAGGTAAGGGCCACCCCCCTGCTCTCAGGGCTTTTTAAATTCAAAATTTGGTTTGGATGCAACCTCCCAGCACCTCCTGGCCCCTGCAGCTCCGAGGAGGAGCACTGCCTTCATCTCCCTCAGCTGCTTCATTCCCCCACATCCCACGGGCTCTGCAAATTCCTATTTCTGTTCATTCCAACCATTTCTTCCCAAACTGGTTGAGGGGAGGGGCCATGTGGGTTTGCTTTCTGGAGGGGCCCCCCTTTGGAGATTCTCTCCCAAATTTGCCCTAAACCAGGACAAAATTTGGCGCCCAATGTGTGCCACTAGAAAAGGGTGAGGCTCCAGAACACCTACAGTGTATTGATGATATCATTGTGTGGGGGAACACAGCTGTGGAAGTGTTGTTCCATTTCAGGATCTCAGACCTGGCTCTCTCTCTGCTCTAAATCAACTTTTCCAGCAGAGAGGGTGCCTTGCCCTCTGCTCCATCCCCATTTTTCCCCTCCCCTGGTCACTCTGAGCAGTGTGAGATGCCCTGAAGCTCCCCTGGAGCCTGTGCCCAGCAGCCCCTCAGGAGAGCTGCCAGAGCCACCAGGGTCACAGGGACCCCAGAAATGGGACAGGGATGGGATTACACCCCTGTGTGTGTGAATGGAATAGAGAGATGCAACGAACAGAATAAATCTGTTCAGAAGGCAGCAGGGAGCAGCTCTGAATAAGGAACGAGATTCAGCTGCGATCTAATTGCAGAAAATCCAGGAATAGAAATAAGTGGAAAATGTCAAACATTTGTCACACTTTAATTTACCATGTATCAGTGGTTACATCCAGAGAGCAAAAGAAGCACACCCTTGGCTCAGTGGCAGGCACAGAGCTGCTCTGAGCTCCACTGCTGCCTGTAATAGAGATTCCTCCTGGATCTCAGCTGCCCTCGTGGACAGTGACAGTTCCCAGCAAGGCAGTTTAGCAGCATGAATCATCCCTCTTATCAGATGCTGATAAATGAAAAGAGCTATATTCTTTTTAACTCAATTCTGCATCTGAGAAGAAAAATATTTCAAAGCCAGGCTGATGTCACAGCATCCAATGCATCAAAGGGCCGGAGATGGAAGAGGGAAGAAGAAGGATCTTGAGGAGAACCAAAGCACCCTCAATATCCAGGACTCCTCCTCTTCCTGGTGTCTCCTTGCTGCACTCTGAAGGGAGGAAAACTACACCCCATGCTCTGCTTTGATGCCACACTGCCTAAAATTGCTTTGCAAAGCCCAATCTTTGTTGCACTTTCCAGGCTGATAAATCCTCTGAGCACAGCTGTTTCAAACCCAAAGCTCTTGCCTGGCTTTAAAAGGTGTTTTGGGTGATTACAAAAATAGCACAACCCATTTAGCCCTTCATGTCTGCTCAATAAAAGTCATTCCAGACCCACTACACCTTTTATGCTGTAACATCTCCTGCTTCCCCATTTCTGACTGGCATTCAAAGCCCTGGACCCTGATAGTGCCTTTCTCTTGGTGTTTGATTTTTTTTAAAACCTTGTGTATTTGAACACACTCCCCAGAGTGAGTCTTTTGAAAATAATCTGTATAAAAGCAAAGCCCTTTTTAAATGGCAGAACAAAACACTCATAAAAGTTCATAAATAGCTTGCTATTTAAATCTCATAAAAGCAGCCCAGTTAATTACTTCAGTTTGGATGTTTCCTGTAAATTGGGCACTGTACCCAAGGTCAGTAATCAAGGAAGAGGGTTTTTCTGCAAATGCTACAAAACCCTCACTGATGTCCTCGCATTCAAGATATCTGGATAATTTGCCTTAAAACCAGTTGGCTTTAATTGCGTGGCTGTGACTGTTTTGACAGTGAAATCTGATCTCATATATATATATATATATTTATGTACAGAAAATGTACATATGGATATAAAAACTGGGGGTTTTCCCTCTATTTCCTCTGCCCTCCTTCCCCTGTCCTAGGCTCAGAGCTGATGCCCAAAGCCCTGTCTACTGATGTCCTCCATGCTGGATAATCTGCCTCTAAACCAGTTGGCTTTAATTGTGTGGCTGTAACAGTTTTGACAGTGAAACCTGATCAAATAGAAATAGAAATAGAAATATAAAATGTACACATAGATACATTAGATGGGTTTTTTCCCTCTATTTCCTCTGCCCTCCTTCCTCTGTCCCAAGCTCAGAGCTGATGCCCAAAGCCCTGTCTACTGATGTCCTTGCATGCAAAATGTCTGGATAATTTGCCTCAAAACCAGTTGGCTTTAATTTCATGGCTGTAACAGTTTTGACAGTGAAACCTGATCACATATATATATATAAATATAAATATAAAATGTACACATAGATACATTAGATGGGGTTTTCCCTCTATTTCCTCTGCCCTCCTTCCTCTGTCCCAGGCTCAGAGCTGATGCCCAAAGCCCTGTCTACTGATGTCCTGGCATGCAAAATGTCTGGATAATTTGCCTCAAAACCGGTTGGCTTTAATTGCATGGCTGTAACAGTTCTGACAGTGAAACCTGACCATATATATATATGTATATAAAATGTACGTATGGATACAAAGAATTGGTTTTTTTCCCTCTATTTCCTCTGGCCTCCTTCCCCTGTCCCCCCCAGGCTCGGAGCTGATGCCCAAAGCCCTGTCTACACGGATCATTGGTGGCATATGGTGGTTCTTCACCCTCATTATCATCTCGTCCTACACGGCCAACCTCGCAGCCTTCCTGACCGTGGAGAGGATGGAGTCCCCCATCGACTCGGCAGATGACTTGGCAAAGCAGACAAAAATAGAGTATGGAGCAGTGAAGGATGGAGCTACCATGACCTTCTTCAAGGTGAGACCGGGCAGAGGCTTTCTGCCTTCCAGGCAGAGATGCCAACGGGAGCCAGGACAAAGATCCAAAGACAGAAAATCCTCCCAAGCCGCCCCTGCTGCTCCTTCTTGCAGCTTCTTGCAGTCTCACATCTTGCCCAGACTGAGACTGTCACTCACCTGAGTCCCACCAAGGCTAAATCCCCCTCCCTGTTGTTAACTGAAGTCACAGGTACAAAATAAAACACTTTTAATTTTACACTTTTGCAGGCTCTACCCATTATCGGCTCGGACACCCTAAAATGTAGCATGTGCCAAAGTGCAGCTTGTATTAAAGCCCTGCAGAAACATCTTACATTCCTTAAAGCATCATCCCAATTTCCACATCTGACCCATCCAGCTCCTTCCCTGCCCCATGGAGCCCCCAGGCTGACCCAGCCAGCCTTCAGGGACAGAGGAGAGCCCAAATGAAACCCACAGCTGGACAGATGTGCCCTCCCTGACCTGTATTTTTTACAGCTGAAATATCTTTCTTGTCCTTCAGGTATTCATATCAATGTAATCCAGTTTTATTAACCTCTGAGATCCAGGGCAAGGTAACACTACCAGTGCATCACAATCCAATTGCATTAATTTCGTCTATTTAAAGCATAATTAAATTCAGAAGTCAGTCAGATTCCACCACAGCCTCAAAAATAGAAAGAAACTGAGAGATGTAAAATGACCTTTAAAACCACTGCTGGCCTGTAAAAACCCAGTTTGAAAAGAGAGAGAATAAAAGGATAGAAATGAAGGATGATTAAGGAATTATCACCTTGGCAAGGAAAGAGGCCCAAAGGAAGATCCCAGGCTTTGGCTCAGCAGTGGGAGCTGGCTCCCCCTCACCTCTGGCTCCTTTCCCCTCCACCACCCTCATGCAGAAGGAAATCCATGTGACTAGCACAGTTCAGGCTTTACCAAGCAGTTTGTGCCTGGTGCTGCAAGATCTGAGCAGGCACAGGGCGATGGCAGCTTGACGAGGACTCAGCAGTTTAATTGGCAAGACTCATTAAAGGAAGGCAATATGCAGGATTTTAATGACAGAGGGAGCATTGTTCCCATGTCTCCTGGCTCTGATCTGGCTGAGAAGCCCCTGTCCTCCCTGGATGTGTGTCCTGACTCTGACAGGAGTCTGATGAAGAGCCACAGAGGGGCTGGTTTGATCTTTAGTGATTCTGGGAATGCCCAGTTTGCCTCCTGCCATGGAGCTGCTCTGCCCATGGCACAGGCAGATGTGTGGTGATGTTTTCCAGAGCCAAATAACCCTGGAAGAGCCAGCTGGGAAAGGCAGGCTGTAACTCTGTGCTTTAACTGTGCCTTCCAATACGAGTTTTATATGGGAATAAAAGGAAACTGTCTCTTTTAACAATCATCAGGACACAGCATATTTATTGCTTCATATCATTATCCATCAGAATCATACTTCAGGCTTCTAACTGCCTTGGCATGGTTTATTGATGCAGAGTATTTTCCTTTCCCTTTTTATTATCACTGTTGTATGGAGATGAATTCTCAGGAATGTCCTTTCTGACAAGCACTTCCATTACTGGAGCAGTGGGAGCTCCCACGTGGGGAGCTCTGCTCGCTTGTCCTTCCTGTCCAGGGGGATTTTTTGGGGCAGACAGGATTTTAGTATATTTAGTGCATTTTTTACCCATATATTTTAGTATATTTAGCTATACTTGTCCCAAATTGCTGCCTGGCTCTTTGTGTGGCTGTTCCCCAAATTCATTCCTGTCCCACCAGCTCCTTCCTTTCTCCCTGTGGAATCAGCTGCAAGCTGCACACACCAGCCCTGAGCACCCCTGGGCCCTGCAGCCCCCCTGCCAGAGCCCATCCTGCCCATGCTGGATCCCCCCAGGAGTGCAGGAGGAGAGCAGCACCCTGATCCTGGGGAGAATGGACAATGGGAGGAAGAGGAAGAAGAAGAGGAAGGCAGACACCTTGCATGCTGTTCCATGAGATGGATCCCAAAGCACTGACCTGTGAGTCACCAGGGACACTGCAGAAGGTCCCAGTGGAACCAGGACCCCTCTGGAACAACCCCACAACGAGGGATTCTGCTCCCACAAAATTTGGCCCCATGCAGCCAAGCAAACCAAGAGAGGGAAGAAGAGAGAGCTTTGTTGGCACGTTCTGACTTCATGGAAAGAACTTTTGAGAAGCTCTTTACTCCCTGGCAATGCAGACTGAGTTACAGGAATAAACATGGATCAATTAATTTAGGAACAGCATCTAGAGTTCATTATAACTCATAAATCCTTCCCACCCTGCAGAGGATGCTGCCTCTCTGAATGGAAGGCCAGATCTCATGTGCAGTTTGGAGTCTGGCTGTGAGTGTGTGTACACAGAGACTCATACAGAAATGTTAAATCCTCAAGACTAAGTATCTTCAGTTGGTGGAAATCAATTTATTTTTTTCATACAGGCTGGAATTGAAAATCTTAAGCCTGCAAGTTCCTTTCTTGCCAATTTGGCTGATAAAAAAGCGTATATGTCTTGGCAAGATGCCTCGTAGGGGCTCCTCTAAACGATTCCATTAATTGATTTGGGTGGCTGGCCCTGCAGAACTGCTTATTAAAGGTGGCTCCTGAGCTGTGACTCTGAAGAATGAACTCGGAGGCGTCGTCGGCGTCGCTGCCTTCGCAGGGGCTGGCACTCTGCTTTCACACACACATCTCATTTAGCACTAACACGGGCTGATTAAGATGCAGAGCACAACAGAGCAGATTCTGGTGTTATTTATCCTGAATAAATCAAGGAGAAGCTCCACTCGTGTGAGCAGGAGTGAGACTCGAGCCCGCTGTGTGAGCCACTGTGACGGCGTTCACAGGGGTTCTTGGAGGAGGGAAGAGATGAGGATGTTTCTGAAGGCTTGATTTATTGTTTTATGATAGATATTACATTAAAACTATACTAAAAGAATAGAAGAAAGGATTTCATCAGAAGGCTGGCTAAGAATAGAATAAGAAGGAATGATAACAAAGGTTTATCTGTGTCCAAGCCAGCTGGGCTGTGATTGGCCATTAATTAGAAACAACCACATGAGATCAATCCCAGATGCACCTGTTGCATTCCACAGCAGCAGATAATAAATGTTTACATTTTGTTCCTGAGGCCTCTCAGCTTCTCAGGAGGAAAACTCCTAAGGAAAGGATTTTTCCATAAAAGATGTCTGCCACAAGCCACAGCAGCAGCAGCCGTTGATAATCAGCAATATCTCCATCATTCCCAACCTCTCGGGGCTCCTGACACAGGAACTTCTCTGCCAGTGTCAGATCATTTGTCTTAATGCTTCAGAGCACCCAAGCAGCTCCTCCTCATCTCCCTTTGGCAGCAAAGTTGTCACTGAGGGGGACCTGGGGACATTCCAGAGGATATGGGGGCACAGGAGGGTCACTTTACCCACAGCCAACCAAAATATGCTTCTTTTATGAAGCCCCTAAAAGTAAATGGTGAATCTCTTGAGAAGAAATTAGCACCCAGCCACAGCACAGCAAATACCAGATCAGACCAGGAACTAACCCCAGTTTTTAAAGTTTAACTATGGTAAAACCAGGGGTCCAGCAAAATAAAATGTACACACAAATAAAGAACACAGGAAAAAACATCAGCAAAATAAACACAATTTAAGGCATTTCTTATTGCTAAATTACTATTAAGATGGTTTTGCTTATTTCTGTGCTGCAGTCCTGGCTGACAACATCTGAATTCCCATCAATAAGCAATACCTTTGCACTGTGGCCCAAGTATTTGAGAGGAGGAAGGGGAGAAATGAACTTTTCCTTCAGCTTCAAAACATGTTCTGTGGCTGAATTGTGTGTGAGCTGGAGCAGGGCCACTCCTGCCCTCACTGCTCCTGTGATTGGGGATTGATGACCAACATCACTCCCACAGCTGCTTCTGGGTTTGGAGAAAACCATCACCCTGTGAGGCTGTGCTGGGAATTACAGCCGGGCAATTTTCCCTTGGAAAAGCAGTTTTCTCATCAGGTTTTAGAGCCTGAAGCTGCCCTGAGCAGGGCTGGGTGTGAGCTGGCCTGGCAGCACCAATGGCCTCCTGGAGGGACCCCCAGCTCCTCTGCCCTGCTGGGTCTCTGTCGCGGACAACTTTTATGGAAAATCCTTTCCTTAGGATTGTTCCTCCTGAGGAGCTGAGAGGCCTCAGGAACAAAATGTAAACATTTATTATCTGCTGCTGTGGAATGCAACAGGTGCATCTGGGATTGGGCTCATGTGGATGTTTCTAATTAATGGCCAATCACAGCCCAGCTGGCTCAGACTCTCTGTCCGAGACACAAACCTTTGTTATCATTCCTTTCTATTCTTAGCCAGCCTTCTGAGGGAATCCTTTCTTCTATTCTTTTAGTATAGTTTTAATGTCATATATATCATAAAATAATAAATCAAGCCTTCTGAAACATGGAGTCAGATCCTCGTCTCTTCCCTCATCCAAGAACCCCTGTGAGCACGGTCACAGGTCTCAGCCCTGAGCCCAGATCTCTGTCCCAGCTCTCTTTAGGCACAAGTGAGCAGTGACAGCAGTGACAGCAGTGACAGCAGCTCCACCCTCCCTGCCAGCCCTTCCCAGGTGTGCCCCAGCTGCAGGAATGCTCCACCCCTGGCATTCCGAGCTGGGCTCAGGGCAGCACAGCCAGAAGTGACAAATCTGGGCTCGTCCTGGCATCCCAAACACAATTAAGTCCTTTCAAGCTGGTCAGGAGTAGTGATTTAAGAGAAGAAGAGAAAAGTGGTTTTTCTCTTCCAGGGAGCCCTGTCTCGTGTAATTTCAGTTGCCTGAAGAGGTCCAGTGCCTCATGCAAGTCCCATTTGCTTCACTAAATGCAGCCTATTGATTTTTTGCCAGTTTATTTTGCTCTGTGCTCTAAACTGGGAGAACACTGATGTTAAAAGCTCTGTGTCAACACTCAAGGAGCATTAAATGCAGGAAGAGAAGAAGAGAGAGGGAGAGCCAAGGAACCCAGAGGCCTCTGATGTGAACTATATAAATGTTAAACAAGTCCTTATCAGCCAGCTGAGCACACGATTCATTTCAATTACCCATTGTAATGTACAGATATTTAATAATCCTTTTGGAGGCTACATTTCTTGCTGCTCTTTGAGGTTTGATAGATGCCACAAATCTACCTTACAGGCACTGGTCCAGATTTTCAAGCGAGGGAGATTATCCTGCCTCTTGAATGAAGTTTGCTCCAGCACATCCACTGCTGAGCATTCATCAAGTGGATTATAACGAGCACAAGCTTTAATGGAGAAGAAATGAATCCCTGGGTATTTCAGTCAGGAGAAGGGGCCCACAGGGTTAGAGGCAGAGGAACAGCCTTTGTTTGAACAGCACTGCACTACCCAGCTTCGGGGTGATGAGCTTTTGTTTAACTTTGGCTAAACATGCTGGAACAAAGGAGGTGGATGGGCAAAGCATTTGGAAAACGAAGCATTACAAGGGACTTTCAGCCACCTCACCGTTATTTATTGTGGTTTTATCAGAAGAACCTGTGCTGGCACATTTTGGGTGATACTGACAAAATGATGGGGAGCTGTGGCAGCAGCAGTTGGGCTGGGCTTGGGCTCCATCTCCTGCTTTCTCATGGAAGGACAGAGACCTGTGGAGAGATAAACGAGGCTGAAATCACAGCTCTGCAGCAGCCACTCCTCGTGCAGCAGCTGCTGAGAGGCCACCCTGATTCCAGACACAGCACAGGCACTTATCTGCCCCCTGACTTATCAGCCAGCTCCAGGCTCACCAAGCAGCACAGGGGAGGAACAGGTTTGGCTGCCTAAGCTGCCTCTTATGAAATAAGAAGGCAAAAACAGATCCAGGAAAAACAAGGAATGGGGCAGGAAAGAAGAACGGGGCACAAAGGAGCTGGCAGCAGTGGGAACACAAGTGTGAATATCCAAGTGTTGTCCCAGGGCTGGTCTGAGGGAGAAGCACTGACCCACAGGGGCACTGGGACCAGCAAAGGGGCAAGAGGACACTGCTCTGCCTGTCTGGGAAAACCTTCCTGAGCTAAAGCCAGTTCTGACCAGCCAGTCTGGTCTAGAGGAAGGTGTCCCTGCTCATGGCAGGGGGGGAACAGGATGAGCTTTAAGGTCTTTCCCAGCTCAAACCATTCTGGGATTCTGAGATTCTGTGCCTTTCGTGATGACTGACAGGGACAACTCAGAAGGTGCTCGTAGATAAATGGTACTTTTCAAATGTTATGGCAAGACATAAAATAACCACATTTCTTCTCCCTCAACACATTTTCTGTAAGGAAAAAAAAAAACATTCACATGAATAGCAAGCTAGAAAACATATTCCATCCTTTGCAACAGAATGTCTGCTGATAGTGAAAGAATATCCATGTTTATTTTTAGCCGTAAGACAATCTTCTTGAATATCTCTGTGCTTCTGTTTACGTGGGTACGTTAAATCTGTTTGGCAGTTGCACATATCTCAGAGGAGACTCGTTTCCTTGCCATGCTTGAGGAAAGACAAAAATATCAGAGTGTGTGTAGAGAAAACCACGTCCTCCAAAACTCTCTGTTCTTTCTGCATGCAGAAACATTACAGGGTAAACAAATGCTGGTTAGGAAGTGAACACATTTAAGCAGATCTGCCAATGGACTGGGAGTGGAGGGGGCTGCAGGGCTTTGGGCAGGTTCAGTTCCACCTCAGGACCTGAAGCACATGCACAGTGGGGTGTTTGCTGCAACCCTTGTGTCTCTTTAAGGCAGCATAAATCTAAACAATGCTGGGCAGTGAAGGCATTTAAGGCAAAGTCAAATTCATGGTTGCTCCATTGTGTGATCTGCTCTCAACTATTATTATTATTATTATTATTATTATTATTATTATTATTATTATTTACTGAAAAGTTACCAGCTTTCAGCAAATGGAGAATTCATTCTTATTTTGGGGTTGGGGGGGGTATTGTTTTTCCAGAAATCCAAAATCTCCACTTTTGAAAAAATGTGGGCATTCATGAGCAGCAAACCCACGGCACTGGTCAAGAACAATGAGGAGGGGATCCAGAGAACCCTGACAGCTGATTATGCTCTGCTGATGGAGTCCACCACCATCGAGTACATCACCCAGAGGAACTGCAACCTCACCCAGATTGGGGGGCTCATCGACACCAAAGGCTATGGCATTGGGACACCCATGGGTAAGTGACAGTTCTGCAGTGCCCCTGAGGGGAGCTGGTCACCACAGACACAACACAGGTGATTTTTGAGTTGTGATTTCAGCATTTACCTCAGAAATCCGGTCCCTCCCCTGATAATTCCCTCCCAGGTGTGTCAGTCCCCTCTCCTTTCCCCTCCCAGCACTGTCTGGCACTCCTGGCATTCCAGAAGGGCCTCGAGTGATTGGCAGATCCAAAGGATGCCCTCTACCCCTGGGGGGCATTGGGCCATCCAGGTGTCCTTTGTCCCTTTGTCCCTCCCCTCCTGTCCCTGCTTGGTGCCTCCCTGCCCCTTCCCTGCCCCTCTCCCCGGGGTTAAAGGAGCAGCAGCCACGGGCTCAGGGAGTTCTGTTGGAGCTGGTGCTGCATTCAGAGGCCTGAGGGCCAGAATAAAGCTCTGGATCCAAAGCCTCCATCAGAACCGACTCCTTTCCTTCACCATCCCCTTAAAGCTTCTCTGCCAGAGGGAAACCCCAGGAGCAGCCCCTGTTATGGGGGGAAGCTCCATCCCAGCACCACCAGAGCTCCTGCAGGCCTGGACTTGTCTGCACGTGCCCAACTGCAGCACCCAGCCAGACAAAAGTGTCTGTGGGTGAAACATCACAGTGCCACTATTTGATCAAGCAGCAAGGGCCAGACAAGCTCAGGCACATTCCATCCAGCTATATTGGTAAATATTCCAATTGGTGATTAAGATAATCCACTCCCAGTAGCAAATTTCCAAATACCACTGTCTGCCCGTTGAAGAGAGGTCTGAACTGCACTGCTTAACACAGACACCTTCCCTGCTGGGTGGGATTTGTGTCCCCCTTTCCCTCTGTGTATAACGGTGTCCCCACCCCCAGGGTCACCGTACAGGGACAAGATCACCATCGCCATCCTGCAGCTCCAGGAGGAGGACAAGCTCCACGTCATGAAGGAGAAGTGGTGGCGGGGGAATGGCTGCCCTGAGGATGAGAACAAGGAGGCCAGTGCTCTGGGTGTTCAGAACATCGGGGGGATCTTCATTGTCCTGGCAGCAGGCCTGGTGCTGTCTGTCTTCGTGGCCATGGTGGAGTTCATCTACAAGCTGCGCAAAACGGCGGAGCGCGAGCAGGTACTGACTGATTCCCCCTGGTTCTCTGTGTCCCCTTAGCTTTGCATGCTGACCCCAGAGACAGGCAGGGAGAGGGCAGAGGGATCCAGCCTGGCACCCCGAAAATGCCATCCCCAGAGGCTCACTGGGCTGTCCCTATGACAGCCTCCACTCAGGGGAAAGTCACGTCTGCTCTGATCAGAGTCTGCTGCTGCTGCAGCCAGAGCAGGACACATTGGTAGGGTGGTTTAGAGCAAGCTGACAAATAAATCATTAAAATATAGGCAGAAGTCCCTAGGAGGGGCCTTTCTCAGCTGTTACACCCTTTTGAAATCACCTCCCATGCCTTCTCCCCAGTCCCATTCAAAGAGGAGCAAGTCAGGGCTCACCAGGAAGCCTCACACTGTCCCACAACTCAGCCACACTCACAGACACAGCCCATCATTGCTGACCAGTGTCCAGGAAACAGCAGAACTGCTTTTATGTCCTTCTCCTGCCCTGGCTGTCCCAGTGCAGTAAGTGGAACGTGCACTTGTGTGCATGACCAGAAATCAAAGCAAGCTGCCCTCATGATGGACTAGACAGAGAAAGGAAAGCTGCCCAGTAGAAGGAGCTCCTCTAAAATCTCTAAATTCCTTAAAGTTTATGTCTCAGCATCATCCCTACTGTCCCCAATAAAATGGGAGAACAGTGGCTGACAGGCTATGGAGCTTTACAGTTCCACACTAACAAACTGCAGGCTTACAAATACCTGGAAATTATAACAGCTAAAATGCTAAGGCATCACCCCCACTATCCTCAATAAAATGGGAGAACAGTGGCTGACAGGCTATGGAGCTTTATAGTTACACATGAACAAATTGCTGAAAATTATAAGAGCTAAAATGCTAAGGCATCACCTCCATTGTCCCAAATAAAATGGGAGAAGAGTGGCTGACAGGTGCTGTACAGTTCTACACTAACAAAGTGCAGGATTACAAATATCTGAAAATTATAAAAGCTGAAATGCCAAGGCATCACCCCAATTGTCCCCAATAAAATGGGAGAACAGTGGCTGATGGGCTATGGAGCTTTACAGTTACACACTAAAAATTTTCAGGATTACAAAAAAAAATATATAAGAGATGAAATGCTAAGGCATCACCCTCACTGTCCCAAATAAAATGGGAGAAGAGTGGCTGATGAGCTTTACAGTTCCACGCTAACAAATTGCAGGATTACAAAAAAAAAAAAGCTGAAATCCTAAGGCATCACCCCCACTATCCTCAATAAAATGGGAGAACAGTGGCTGATGGGCTATGGAGCTTTATAGTTACACATGAACAAATTGCTGAAAATTATAACAGCTAAAATGCTAAGGCATCACCTCCATTGTCCCAAATAAAATGGGAGAAGAGTGGCTGAGAGGCGCTTTACAGTTCCACACTAACAAATTGCAGGATGACAAATATCTGAAAAACGTAAGAGCTAAAATGCTAAGGCATCACCCTCACTGTCCCCAATAAAATGGGAGAACAGTGGCTGATGAGCTTTACAGTTCCACGCTAACGAGTTGCAGGATTACAAAAAAAAACCCCAAAATTATAAAAGCTGCAATGCTAAGGCATCACCCCCACTGTCCCCAGCGCTCCTTCTGCAGCGCCATGGCCGACGAGATCCGGCTGTCTCTCACCTGCCAGCGCCGGGTCAAGCACAAGCCCCAGCCCCCCGTGATGGTGAAGACGGACGCCGTGATCAACATGCACACCTTCAACGACCGCCGGCTGCCCGGCAAGGACAGCATGACCTGCAACACCGGACTGTCACCTGTGTTCCCCTAGGGAATGGCACTTGGGGGGGGTGGGAGGGAAGGAATGGCGGCAGACACGGCTGGATGCACCCTGAACTAGGGAAGAATGGATTAAAAAACAAGAGAAAAAAAAAAAAAAAAAAAGAAAAAAAAAAAAAAAAGCCTGGTTTGTTCATTTCGAGAACAAGGCCTTTGCAAGCCAGCTGCATCCATCACCGCAGAGGAGCCAGAACTTCCAAGCACGGACAGTAACGTGGGTCTTGGGGCTTTTTGCGTTTGTTTTGTTACTTTTCATTCCTTTTTTTTTTTTTTTAATGCTTCGATCCTCCAGGCCTCATGGAGTCCAACCACCACCCAGGAGTCTGATGTTTACACACTGCAAACAGGCGGAGGTGAAGCAGAATTGAGCCAACCCCGAGCGGGTGAGGAGGAGCCGCGAGCGTGGCTCCATCAGCACGGCAATAAACAGGAGCACTCGGTCAGGTGTGAGCACCTGATCCACACCGACACACACAGCACATTTTTGGAATGGGAGAGGCCTCCGGGAAGCCCCAGGATGGGGGAGGCTGTGCTTGCCCCAGAGCAGCTGGCGGTGGCCCTCAGCTCGCGGCTGTGCTGGCCGCAGCCCCCCGGAGCGGGACAGCCACGTGGCAGCGCGGTGGCACAAGGTGACACAAGTTCCCCAGCAGATCCAGGGCAGCTGACTGGGAAGGGGAAGGTGAGCCTGAAATGTACCCAAGCTCTGGGCCAGGGAGGGCACGGCGTGGCACGCACAGGACCTCCTGCACCTCCGAGTGACAGCACCCACGTTCCCCAAGCCAAGCTCCAGCCCAGGGTGACACTGTGATCTCCAGGTCCTCAGCTCTGTCTCTGCTCTTCCTGCAAAGCTCAGTCTCTCCTGCAGAGAAGCATGGGAAGCGACCATGTCAACAGGCTCCAGCAGCAGCAGCAGGAGCAGAGCTGCTTCCAAGAGCCAAAAGTACCGATTTCCATGAAATTCAGCAGTGCTGAACTGCAGCTCCACACTGGGAGGGACCGTGGGCCTGGTTTAGGACTAAGTGCTCTCCATGGCATCAAGGACCTGAAAGATGAATCTCAGCCAGAGCTGACCTGGGAGAGGCAGAGGCAAGCCTGGGATCCCTCCTGCTCTGACCAGGAGCTGCCACCCCTCAGGCAGCCTCTCCATGGGATTTAAGCAAACACACACTAAAATGTTTTTAGGAAATCTTCCATGAATTGTCTTCTTATTTTCAGGTTGCTTAACCCAGAAGGTTGGTCCTGCAGATGAATTTAGGCAGAATTACCAAAGACCCCTCTGCTGACCTAAGGTAACCCTTGAGTTACTTCCCTCAGCTCCATCCCTGCCAGGGAACCTGGCAGCCAGTGGGATTCATCCACAAAATTAAACAAATGGAAATTCCTCTGCCCACCATAACCCAGGATGTCACACATGTGATGCAAAGGTGCTTAAAAGCTCTGGTTTAACCACTGGTGGTGGAGAAAACAGCAACAGCCTTCCCCTGCAGGGGAAAGAGGGACAGAGACCCTGCAGGACCCCACCCGTGTGGAGGGCAGGGATGGAGCAGTGCCCAAGCCCTGGGCCATGGGTCAGAGGGTGCTGAGGCCACCACAAGCTCTCCTGAGCTGCACAGCCATTCTGGAAAGTTTATCCTCGCCCAAAGGAACAAACCTGACTGATTTTGGATTTTTCCCCACCTCTTCCTCTCCATGCTCAGTTGGGAAGGCTGTCTCCAGCTGAGCAGAATTAGCAGATTAACTCAAGGGGGAAGAGCTGCTCCCCTGCCCTACCATGGAACACAGTTTGTCCTTATTTTGCTTTTTCCATGATGTAAAGAAACAACAGAGTGACCCCAAGCAAAGCCAGGTGATGTGTCATATTTTGACTCAAGTAAAGATATGCAAAGAATTTACATTCATTTTCACCTTTTCACAAAAACCATGAAAAATTAGGGATGAAAGTTGCCAATGCAATGGGCATAGCAGATTCTTACTAGTTTGCTGCACAAATACCTTGAGCAGAGGACAAGCTGAAGTGTGGGGCAGCTTCCCAAAGCTAATGACATGCTTTCTGTGTTCCTTTGCAAATCCTTAGGCTTGTCAGAGTAGTAGATTTTATGTTTTCCTTGAGGATTTCTAAGCTCTAAAAAAAAAAGGCAGAGATGCAAACAAAGCCTGAAACTGGCTTTAAATGTCCAGAGAGTAAAATACCACAGAAATCAGCATTCGTTTTGCTTCTTGGCAGATTTTTTTTAAAAAATAAATAAATATCGCTAATACCACAAACCCCATTTATTTATTGACACCAGCCTGATTTGATTTTACTCACAAATGTAACAGGTGAGCATCTGGAATTACTGGTGTACAAACCCTTTTCCTTCCATCCCTACACCCCTAAACCAGCCACGAACTGCAGCCAAATTCCTGCATCTACCCCATGGCTTTGTGTTGACCGCTCGGAACGCTTGACATCCAACAAGGGAATGTTCTGCAGCACCCCAAAAAATGCAGAGGGACCCCAGCTGGTGCAGACCTTTGGCCCTGGCCCCGCTCACTGTGACCTGAGGGGACGTGCAGGATGTCAGCCCCAGCCTTCCTGCGGGACCGGGGGCAGCTCGGCCCGGAGAGCTCCCGGAGCCTCCCCGTGTGCTCCAAAGCCATGTGTGCTCATGCCAGAGGAGGAGCAGCCAGCCCCGTGCCTCGCAGCCACGGCCCTGGGGGCTTGGGAAGGGACAGAGCCGATGACAAAGCCTCAAAGCCTTCCCTGAGCACGTCCGTGACCTGGCTGGGACTGGCGACAACTCAGTCTGAAATCGTCTGACTTCCAACGCTGTTCCTTCCTTCACTTGGAAAACTGAGCAGAAGTACAGAAAAAGCAGGTTTGGGTTATTAAACTGTATCTAAACTGTTGTCACCTCGGCTCACCATCCCCTTACCACTTGCTTTTTCCCTCCAACTCTCCCGTGAGACAGAGCAGGGACAGCCAGCAGCTTCCCCGGGGTGGAATTTCTGTTTGGAGTCGACCAACAGCACGTGTCAGGTGTGGTGTGCAGGGGACAGACCCACAGAGAGATGGAATATGCAAAGGGGAGCCAGCTCTGGGCACCCACTGCTCCGCCTGGGACTGGGCTGGGTGCCAGCACAGAGGCTCTCCAGGAAGGTGACAGCAAAGGGACATTGTGGGTCCTGGTGGCTTCACCCAGTGCTCACCCCAGCACCCAGAGTGCTCGGGGCTGGCAGGGCAGGGGCACCCCCAGGCATTGGCATCACGAGCCCTCTGCTCTGTACCTTACTTTGACATGTTTCTCAAAAAAAAAAGAAAATTAAAAAAATTTAAAATAAATAAATAAATAAATAAACAGAAAAGAGTGGGAAAAAGGAAAAAATAGTCTCCGTGACATTCAGGGGATTTTCCTTTGTGGACATGCAGAATTTCTATGAATATAGTTTTTTGTAAACATTTTGTAACAATTTTGGTTTCATAGTAACTGTGTTACTTGCTGATCATTCTAGACTGATGTAAATACAATTTCCAAAAAATAAAAAAAAAAAGAAAAAATTCTGATTATTTTCCTTTTTAAGACACTGTGATATATCAAAGTGCACAGTTTGCTGTATGAAGTAATATGGTTTTAAATTTTAAATAAATAATTTCTAGAAAATAATGAAGTTTCTGCCTGTTTATACTCAACATCTCCCTTCCTTCTGGCTCAGATTCTGTCCCAGACTCCCACTGCTTAACAACATCCCAACTTTATCAGCCATTAAGCCAGTGATGATAAAACCAGTTCCCAACTGGACCCAAACACCTGGGAAATGCTGCTGCTCACCAAGGGGGTTGTGGCACATTTGGGGCAGCAGTGATGGTCTCAGGAGAAGAAGGGAAGGTCCCAATTTTGGCCAGAGGGAGGGAAGAGACAATGAGGCTCAGACAGGGCAGTTCTCCCTGCTCTCACAGCATGATATCAGACAGGTAATTAAACCTGGATATTCCATTAAGAGCCATCCACAGGAGCTCTCTCTGCCGTGGTTTGCCTGCAGGCTGCCTCAGCTTTTCATCACAGAGAGGTGCAGGAGCCCCAACAAGGCCTCCAGGTTCATAAAGGCTCTGTTTGCCTCTTCCCTCCCATGTAAGTCAAAAATCTTATTAGCCCCATAAAAGCTGAGAGCACCCTAAAGGCCAGTGTTTATTACTCTAAATCTTTATGGCTCTGCTTTGTTATATCCAGGCAGGGAGGAAAACTCTGTGGTTCCTGGGATGGGAGCGGTGAGTGCAGCTGGAGCTGTGCCCTTTCTACAGAGATAAAACAAACCCCAAAAGTGGAGGCACAGCCCCAGGGGTGGCTCTGGGCTTCAGTGGCACAGCCCACTTTGCACACTGAGAAATGAAGACAACTCCTTCTCATTTTTAAAGCGTTTTTAAGGGTCACCCTCAAAAATCTTTCACATCTCTATTCGCTTGAGCCCCCAGAAAAGCAAAGCTTTGAGGCTGGTGCTGAGGGGGATCAGCAGAGCCAAGCCCAGCCTCACTTTTATGCTCTGAACCCTGATCAATATGCTAAGAACACAGCAAAAAAAAAAGAAGAAGGGAAAAAGGTAAAAGCAACGGCTGCCTTTGCAAAGCTGCTTCTGCATCACTTAGCATGAGAGACCCTCTGAGGGAATGAAATCCCTTCCCTCGTGCGGGGGGAACGGGAGCTCCCAGCTGCGGGGACAGCAGGGGACAGCAGGGCCAGGAGGGGCTGACCCCGCACGCCAAACCCCCGGCTGCGCCGGGAACACCAGGAATTGTCAACATAAATCGTTATCAGCATTAACGGCAGGCAGCAATTAACCTTGTCAGTCAGCAGCTCACCCTTTAGTGCCCGTGACCCACCGCCTGCAAGCTGCCAATCACCTCCCGATGAATAATGAATGAGACAACAGATTTCACTCATAAAACAGCACTTCCCTTTCCCTTTAAGCATCAATTAATCCCTCTGGGCAAAATATGGAGAAAATCAGGTAATGGTG